AACTGAATCATCTCAAACCACGCCGCAGGCAAACTTTAATTTCCTGAGCTATTTCCACACATCGCCTCCCACTCTTCCTCCACACAGAGCTCACAGCTCTGACCGTTTCTCCCTGTATCAGCTGTCGTTTGGCTCTCGAGTCCGACTAAGTGAAGAAAAACCCACTCCAAAGATTTCAGAAGTCTGTGCTGTGTGCTGAATGAACTGCTCAGGGCTCCTATTGGTGTCAGCCCCAACCTTCACGTGCACCCAGTGCCACCCTCACAGTGACACAGATGGGACCAAACACCTCACACTGGGGCACCAGGAAGGTGCAGAGCCCAGCACCCCGCTCACTCCTCTTTGGTTCCCATGGCACTGAGTGCCACCTATTACTTACCTGGCAGTTGCCATGGTTATGCCAAAGCCTTCTCTGTGTTGCAGGATGTGGCCATAGGAGGGGTGAAGGCATGGCCAAGCACAGCCCTCATGTTTCAGGGCACAGCTGCAGCCACGCAGGGACCACACCGCTTTTGCAGCCAGGTCTAATTGATGGCTCATGGTTTGTGCAGAGTGAGTTCTGTCCCCACAACCCCGTGGGGCAGAGAGCTGCTCCTTTCAGGGTACCACAGCAAGGCGAGGAGCTGCATCACCATCTAACTGCACTTTACCTGTTTGCTTCTCCTGCCAGCACACAACAGGAGAAACTGTCACCCTTTGATTGATTTTTTTAGAGCAGCAAGGATGGCTCTCACACAGGGCTGGGGTATTAAAACCCAGAGTAGGGAAGGTGAGTGGGGAAGCATTGCTGTGCCCAGCAGGCATCTTTCCAAACTCATCCCATTGCTGTCAGCCCAGTGTGCCACCAGCCCACACCCAGCTCTGCTCCTCATTCCGCTGCAGAGAAATTCCCAGCCAGCTGCTATCATGCAAATAACTGATTTGGGCAATTTTCCTCAATTAGGAGCTTTAATTTGATTACTTCAATGGCTGCTTGTTCTGAACAGACTTTGGCTGCATTTCCCTGGGCTGCTGTGAAGGCTGCAATGTAACTTTACTCTGTTTATCCAAACAATTGCTAGAGTAATTCCTACTGGAACAAAACCACCATTATGACTGCAGATTGATTGGCAAAAGGGCTGCACGGGGGGGCACAACACACACATTTTAAGACCATCTGGGAGGTGCCAGTGTAGGGAAGAGGCAATGGTGCTCAATAGGATGCTCTGAGACCCACAGCTCAGCAGCACAACCCACAGCATCCCAGCAGCAGCACAATCAGAACACGAGTGAGATGGAGAGAAGGCTCTATCCAAAGCAGAAGCCTGTTGTGTCCTTGTGTAAGGATCCATCCCATCCAGAGCTGCAACTATTCTCCATCCTGCGCTGCCCTGGCATCGTCCTCATCACCTCCATCCATATCCAACAACTCTCCCTTGTGGGCTTTGCACCTGGGGACATCTTCCACTGTGGGGAGGAGCATAGTCAGGCCCAGCATCCTGTTGTGGGTGCTTCCTGTAGGGCAGGGCTCCCCATTCCCAGGGCAGAAGCTGCCACAAAGCCACTGCAGGACCAGCCCTGCTGCTATCCAGCCCCATAGCCCAGTTGGGACTCACAGGTAACATGCTGCCCGCTGAGATAAACCGGTCCAGTTCCACACTGCAGCATGAAGGTGACAGGAGGGACAAACTCCAGACCTTTGAGACTGATCTGCAAAGAGCCAAAGCTCAGAGCAACCCCCCAGATCCACCCAGCCTCCACAACAGCCACAGGACAGGAGATGCACTGCAGCACAGAGCGCTTTGCAGGCACAACCTGGACAATTCCAGAGCTGGAAAAAGCCCACAGATCACCCAGGGTGAATCATTCCCTGTTCTTACCATGGGAAGCACCGAGACACGCAGGGATGCAATGGGCACTGGTTTGTGGTCTCCGTAGGTGTTCTTGGACTCCACAGCCACCACATGCAACTCATCTCTAGCATTGGCCCCCAGGGAGATCTGTGGGTTGGGCAGAGCCCCCATGACAGAGCAGAGGCCCTACAGTGGGGCAGCATGGTGACACCAGCAAGCCCCCCACCTTACCGTCTTCAGCAGGACCAGGTGCTCTAGGAAGTCATCATCCTCCTTCACCACGCAGCTCTGGCTGTTCACACCCAGCTCACAGCCTGTGGACACACAGCCCAGTCCCTGCGTGCACCAGCTGCTTCCCCTGCAAACCTCAGGGGTGCAGAAAGCAAAGGGAAAAAGCATCCCTTGCTGCCCCCCTGCAATGCACTGGGGGCTGCTGCTCACCCCATAGCACAGCAGCTGTCCTGTCCTCTGACAGCGACCTGAGAGCAGGGGAAGAGCTGCTCATCCTGCACAGCACCAGGAACCAGGCCCTACAGAACAAGTACCAGAGAAAGTAGCCTTCAGCTGGTCTGTAGTTGTAACAGGTGGAAGAAAAGTGATTTTAGAATACTTAGAAAAGGTTCCCAAAATCCAGAGCTAGGGCAGCATCGTGCTAGCAGCTCCCACCAGCACAGCTTGCTTTCTGCAAGAGTTGGAGGCAGCTATGCCTCATTGGCTGAGATGGCACTGTTAAATGAGAAATAAAATCACAGTGACAGCATTAAGAACAGCACAGCCCATTGAAGGAGGCTCCTCCAGCACTAAGGTCTCAATGGAACCCAACCCCAACCCTAAACGCTGCCCTGCAGCCCCCACCTGGCCAGAAAAAGCACCGAACACGAGCTCCCCTTGTGCTGCAAATAAAGAGCAGCGGCAGCCCATCAGCGCTGTAATTCGGAAATGCAGCGCAGGTGCTGCGGAGGACAAATAGAGGCTCTCAGGTGCTGTCAATGCATTCTCAGAGCTCCTTTGCTCATTGCTTGGGGCAGCTGCAGACAGCAGCGAAGAGCCACAACTGGTTCGAAGCTGCAGGACCGCCCCGGCGGATTTGCTTTTCTCTTTATTCCCGTTACACGTTACGAGTTCTGCGCAGCGCCGGGAGGTGGCACTGAGGCTCCGGATGGTCGCCGTGGCTCCGCTCGGACCCCGCAGCCTGATTCCAAATGTGAATGGGGCGATGCGGCTGTTTGCTGAGCCGGCAAACCCCGAGATGGGGCGCAGAGCCTCCCTGGGGCTGTGAGCAGCACAGAGGCTGTGCCCGGTCCTTGGGAGGGACTCCCAGGCGCTATGGGGATGGGTGCCCGTGGGCATCCAGCCTCAGGCAGCCCCCTACCCTTAGGAAGGGCAAGGCGCCGGTGATGCAGGTGAAAGCTGCCGAGTGATTCCCGAGGTTTATTTCACACAAAAGCATTACAGTCACCACGACGCACGTTTACAACAGATATCATCCCCGAAGTCCCAGCGAGGTGGGACGGTGCGGACACAAACACCCGTGTTTTTTTGCACAGCGCCCTCTGTACCGCTGTGCTCCGTGCTGTGCATGGAACGGCCGTGCAGCGGTGCGGTGCTGCTGCCTGTTCCTACAGCACGCAGAGACTTAAGAGCAGAGCATCGCCGCCGCCAGAACCCACAGCATCGTGCAGGGCTCTGGGGAAAGCCTCTCCTGCAGCACTCTTTATCCCTCTCTCCTCTCCCGCCTGTGCTTTTCCCTTGCTGTGGCTCCCTGCATCACACCCGGCCCAGGGAGCTCACTGCAGTGTTTGGGGCAGGACCCAGTGCAGATCACGGAGCAGTTTCTTGCCAGCAGGAGATCCTCTTTTCCTTTGCCAGCTACACAACCCGGGAAGATGGGGTCCCGTGGACGAGCAGAGCTGCTGGTCACCACGTCCCAGTGCCAATTCATCTGGGGTGGCAGTGTCCCCATCCCCAGAAGCTGTGCTGGAACCTCATCGTGATGGGCTCAGGATCTTTTTGCTGCTGCCTTTATCTCTCCAGCACCAGAGGAGCCCCTTTGCTCTCCGTGTGGGTGCGTGCACCAGAGGGTCCTTCCAGCGTTGTACCCTCAGTGCTACTCCTCCTTTCACACACAGCGTCCCCATCCCAACATCTGCAAGAAGACAGCAGGAGCTGACGGTGTGCATCCCCCCAGCATCACAACTCTGGGGATGCAAAGCAACCACTCCAGGAGCTGAGCCCCTGGAAGGAGAGAGTGCAAAGGGGGGTCCTGGCCTCAGCAGCAGCGTGCAAGCACTGCAGAGCAAGCTGCTCTGAAGGGGGTTAAGCACTCTGGGCAGCACAGAAACGTGTCAGCAGATGCCTGCGTCAGCTCACATGCCCAATGCAGGCACATGGCTGTGACCCAGCCAAGGGCTGAGCTCCCCCAGGGAAGGGGACAGCCAAGCTGGTCAGAGGGGACTGTTGCAGAGACAGGGGTGGCCCTGCTGCAGCCACACACTGGGGTCTCCTGTGGCACTGCTCCCATATGGAACACACACTTACAGTGCTCCCTGCTCTGCTGCATTCCCAGTCAGACCGAGGGACACGCCGGCATCTCTCTGCTGGTGAACCTTAAATGAGAGAGCATAGAGTGTAAAGAGTCCACATCCTCCCCATAACAGCAGGGGCTCCCTGAAGTCATCAGGAGTGAGGGGAGAAGGGAGAAGATCCCAGGGACAGGAACACACTCCTGGTGTGGTGGTTTTACTACCTGAGGAAATGAACCTCATTCCAGTTGTTGGGGCACTCCCAGAAAGGGACAAAGTGCCCAGGGAGGCACAAAGAACCTCAGCTCTGCAGCCTGGCAGAGGGGTTTAGGGAAGCCCAAAGGCGTTGGGCACAGCAGTTCCCATTCTATACCCCATCCCAGTGCTCTGCATTCATCAGACCACAGCCCCATCACCAGCAGTCCCCCAGAACAGCACCCTGCACCCCAAGCACGCACACAGTACTCACTCATCCAGCTGCTCGCACAGCATGCTCTGCGTGCCCTGCAGCCAGCACTCGCCCAGAGGCCGCTGCTGGTGGCCACCAGCATGGGATGAGGCGTTCTCCTCCCTCCTGCCGCTCCCCTGCACCTCGCTGTCCTCCCTGAGCTGCCCGGGGTCCACAGCCTTGCCGTCCTCCAAGGGGTCCCCCCGAGGGCTGAAGGCACAGGAGCAGTGCTGTGGGTCCTGTGGGGCAGCGTGCAGCCGGCGGTCGGCGCGGCGCGGGCAGCAAAGCAGCTTGCGGAAAGCGCTCCTGAAGTCGGGGCTGCGGCAGTAGATGATGGGATTGAAGGCTGAGTTGACGTAGCCCAACCAATTGAGGAAGAGGAACAGCTGGTCGGGCACCAGTGGCCGGCAGAACACCTTGATGATGTTGGCCACGAAGAAGGGCAGCCAGCAGAGCGTGAAGGTGCCCATGATGATGCCCAAGGTCTTGAGCGCCTTGTGCTCCTTGATGGCCAACAGGCGGGACGGCCGACGCCACCGCCCTCCTCTGGAGCTGAGGCTGGGGTTCTCCTGCAGGAACCTCACCTTGTCCTTGCCGATGAGCTGGACGTGGCGTGTGGCCACAGCAAAGACACGGACGTAGACGAAGATCATGACGAGCAGCGGCACGTAGAAGGAGACGGTGGAGGAGACGATGGCGTAGGTCATGTTGGTGACAAAGTCACAGCAGCGTGGATCATCGTAACAGCGCACCGCCTGCTCGTCCGCCCCGTCCCGCCACCAGTGGTTCATGATGGGCAGGAAGGAGATGAAGGCAGAGATGGCCCACACCATGCACACCACAGCCCATGCTCTGCCCTTGGTCACCAGCGCCTCATACTGCAGCGGTGCCGTGATGGCCAGGTAGCGATCCACGGCGATGGCGCACAGCGTCTCGATGCTCGCCGTCACACACAGCACGTCCAGAGAGGTCCACAGCTCACACACCACCGTCCCGTAGGGCCAGTGGCCGCTCAGCAGGATGGTGGCCCCCGGTGGCACCACCAGCAAGCCCATGACCAGGTCGGCGCAGGCCAACGAGGTGACAAAGACGTTGGTCATGGTCTGCAGCCGCGGCGTCTTGGCGATGGCCACGATGACCAGCAGGTTGCCGGCCACGATGACCAGAATGGTGATGCTCAGCGCGGCTCCCACCGCCCACTGCCGGCTCAGAACGGCGGCCCAGCTGCAATTAGGGACGGTGCCGTTGCCTGCGGGAAGCGGGGTCATCACTTCGGTGGGGGGGGGCGGGGAGGGAGGCGGCCCAGCTCCGTGCACTCCTTTGCCCCCCGTGCGCTCCACGGCTGCCGGGGCCGGAGCGGGGCTCGGGGCGGCCGCCGCCGTCGAGGCTGCACCGACGTCGCACTCCGTCCGCGGCCGCTACTCGGAGGAGGAGCCTTTAAAGGCACGGGGCGGCCCCGGGCTGCCCCTTTGCGGAGATCAATGAAAGCAGAGCGGGAGCACCGCCTCCCTGCTGCCCCCGGGCCGGATACCCCCGACACTGCGCAGCCGGACCCAACTGCGCCCCTCACCCCACTCGCCTTTATTCTCCATGTACACGGCTCCTAGTTCCTCACTGTGCATCCTGCCCTGCATCGCAGCTCTTTGCTCCGTGCTCCTCTCTGTTCTCCTCGCATTCCAGGGTATGCAGTGAAGACACCGACCCGGCTGCCATCAGAACAGGGATGGCAAAATGACAGCCTCACCGCAAAGAAATCATCCAACAGCCTCTCTTTCACCCCCACATTTAATGCCTGAACCCTTTCCCCAGCTTCTGTAACCATGCACTGCTACCCCCTTAAGTTTGAGTCAGTGCTGGTGATTTTGGGATCCCCATAATCCATCCTTCGGGATGCCCAGGGAGATGGGGGGCACCGTGCTGCTCCCATCCCTGCCCCTGTTCCCAGTGCTGCTCCTTCCGAAGGCCCCTGGGCAGACTCCAGGGCAGGGCAATTTTTTCACTATCAGCTATTTATACAAATACTGGAACTTCTAAGACGGGCGCTCTCCAAATATGGCATTTTGAAGTTTCGGCCAAATGGGGGGAATGTTGACAAAGAAGGAAAGGAAATGTGTAAAAAATTATCCAGTTGGCATTTCTTCCCATTCATGAGCTAGCAAAACAGAGCCCGCTTTTTTTACAAGCTTTATCTTTACAAGGCTGTTTGGGTTCTTCAAAGCAGTCAGATGAACTCTTGATGCAAACAACCCCTTCAGCTCCAGCTCTGGCACTAATTGCTGGCACAGGCTGAGTTCTGAGCTTACTATTTCCAGTGTGAGGTGTCACTGGGCTCAAACAACGCATGGCATGAGCAAAACGTGCACAGGGAGAGCCACAATCTTCTTAGTGTGATGGCACACGTAACCCCAGTGTGTGTTGGCACGTGGAGCCATAGTGAGTGTGCCTGAAAGAATAAAGAAATGCTGTGGGAATGGCAGTGGATAACAGAAAATGAAGGCTTTTGGGTGTTACTGAGTGTGGCTCAGTGTTTTCATCCCACTTCTGCAGCTGGAAAAGCTGAAGCCCAGATGGCTGCTCCACCAGCACAGCATTCGGCTCCTGGCAACGAGCAGGAACCCACCAGCAAAGAGGCTGGAAATGCCTCTTGCAAAACAGAGATCCTGCACAGCTCTCTCTTGCTTTCTCCTCCTGCCCCCTTTGTCTCCCTGCTGTCCCCCTCCAAGGCCCAGCAGCCACCACAGCATGTGTCCCCTCTGCCACCTCTGCCATGTGCCACCTGCACAGTGCTGAGCAGTGGGAGCCCTGCCAGCCACGGGGACCCATGGGGTCAAGTGGCTGTTTGGAAAACTCTGGGAAAATATGTTTATGCCACAGATCAGAGCAGCTCCCTTGGCTGCTCTGTTGCTACAGAATAAACAATGGATGTTTTAAAAATACATCTTTATAGATAGAGACAGGATGGATTAGAGAAGATCCCTCCTTGGAGAGAGCAGAATTGCAGTGGGAACAGGCAGAGCAGCACAGCTCTGTGCTCTGGGAGCTACCAGCACCCATGGGTGTGTTTGGAGGGGAGAAGCCCTCACCTGGTCCTGACAGTCTGGGCACACTGGCACTGCTGCCTATGGGGATGTAGAGCCAGCTAGCTCCTGTCCTGCAGCCTTCCCCCATGCCAAGGAGGCAGCGTGCACACAGCAAGCCCTAACAATATGTGTAAGGCCCACAGGGAGTGCTCAGTTCCTATTAATCCCCTGTACCCAGTGAGGGAATGAGGCATACAGCAGTGCCTGGCACAGTGCAGGTAGGGGGGAGCACTCCTGTGAGCTTTAATCCTCCACCTCTCATGTTCAGTTTGTAACTGCACCCATGAGCCCCACAGAGCTGGCTGCGCCCTGGCTCCAAGGCATGGAGGAGGCAGAGAGGAGGGAAGGCAGCATAGAAGTGATGGGCACACGCCAGCTTCTCCTCCCAGCGTCATTAAAAGCAGCACACTGAATCCTGCCAAGCCTGAGTCAGGCTGATGCCACATCAGGATAAAACAAAAGCTTTTTATAGCTGGGAACTCTTGCTCTCCCCAGCGCACTGTCTGCACGCTTGCTGTTACAGAACAAGTGATAAAAGCAGCATGAGCCACTGCAGCATCGCCGCTGCCACCGCAGGCTGGGACACAGGCTGGGTGCTGCCAGCTCCTCTTCCTCATCAGGACAGGAAAAAGAAGAGCTCTGCACAGAGCAGGGCAGAGCTGCACCCAGTTCAGCTTTGCACCAGTAAGGGATGGTTCCAAAGGGCTGCTGGAGCCAGGGCTGCATTGCAAAGTGCAGCGCATCCCCAGGGCCACACGGCCACACTGGTAGGGCAGGAGTTGCTCAGGGAGCATGGATTTAACCCAAACCCTATGGCGTGGCATTGGGATGGAGCACTGGGGTGGGCATGGGGCAGGGCAATGGCAGTGGCTGTTGGCAGTGGTCCCTCTCTGCCTTTACTGTTTGTGCTGGTGATTAGACTGGGGCTCGCCGTGCTGAAACATTGGGAATAGTTTCCATATCGGATTCCCAAATCTTTCTTTGAAGTTGTTTGGGACGATCTGTCAGCACGTTTCCTTGTCAGCACATAAACAGGCTGTGAGGGAGCATTAACCCCTGGGTACTGCCTGTCCCAGGAAGGCCGGAGGAAGCACTGCATAAACTCTGAGCTCTCTATAAACTCTCCTCCCCGAGGGCTGTCGGATGGGCTCAGCCAGCTGCAGGAAGTGAAGCATTCTCTGCACCAAACAATTCAAACTAATAAAAATGGGATGTTCTGCTGGCTTCCGTGCGAGCAGCCATTTTTAGAACCAAGTTGGCCAAGGCAGGCTCCAAATCCACCACATCTGCAAGGGATGCACGGTGTGCTCCTGCCCTTCCCATCCCAGCCCTGTTGGGGTGGGCGGATGCTTCAGGTGGGAGCGCAGTCAGGTATGGAACACAGAGCACATGGCAAAGCTTCCAGGGCATTTCCAGCCCCTGGGCTGAAGGGATTTGCTTGCTTTTATGTGCTCTGCCAAGGCTTTGCAGACATGCTCACAAGTGCTTCTCCCTCTCTCCTGCTGACTGGTTTTCCAGCAGCTATTGCTAAAGAAAAACAGAAGTGGAGGGGAAGGAGGGACGAGTCTGCAGTAACAGCGGCACCAATTTCACACACACAAAAAAAATAATAATAATAATGTGGAAAATTCTATTAAAAAAAAAAAAAAAAAACAGCAAAAATAACATCTGAAAGCAGCTGGGTTTGCAGACAGAGAGGGCAAAAAATCCTTCGGGTGACAGCAGGGTGAAACCAAGCAGTGTCTCCAGACTGGGGTTGGATCCTGCTGCTTTCAGATATCCAAAACCCCAATACAGCCCCACGCACCACCTGTGCCATCCCCATTCCCATCTTTATCCTCATCTACAGCAGCCCTGCAGCCTGCCCATGCCTGTCCCTGCTGTGTTTGCTCCATGTGCAGAAACAGGGAAACAACAGCAGCAATGGCAGCGGCCACATCAGGCTCAGCTCTCCCATGTCATCACGGCTATTTTTCACCCCACGCTCCTCCTGGTTCTGGGAGATTTCTCAGAAATGTGTTGCAAATGGGGAGAAGGTTCATTCCTGAGGGCTGTGCTGCTGGGTTCAGGCAGTGGGCAGGAGTTAGCAGTGGGGCAGCGGGGGATGCTCCGGCACCTGACGTATGGCTGAACCCCACTATTTGTGCCAAGGAGCCGTGAGCACGAGACGTGGCTCCTGAAAACACAGCTCACGCTGTGCCATTCCCTGCCGTGCCAAATTCCTCTGCAGAGCACGAGCCAAGCAGCACCCAGGGTCCATTTAGGGGTGCAGAGCATCCCCTGCACACATCGTCCCCAGGATTTCTCCCTCGCAGGGCGGAGGCACTTCCCATGGGCAGGATGGGTTTGTTTACTGGGGGCAACTTTGATCTGCACAAACAGCCCTTGGGCGGGCAAAGTGGATGTGGGTTTGGCGTTATCTGCAGTGGTGATCAGAGAGGAATGTAAACACGGATGGGGTGGAAATGCCGCAGCACATAACACCCCCAGCTGCCTTCCCCTTGGCCATGGGTGGGTGCCATGGGGCACCCATGAAGAAATACCCAATATTTCATGACCCACGGGGTGTGTTCTCTACGAGCCATAGCAGGGAGCTGCCTCCAATGGGAGCCTGCCAGAGGAGAAAGATTTTCACAACACCCCTTCCCTGTTTCCACAGGCAGCAATTCCCAGCAGTGGCCAAATCAGCGGTGTGCAGAAAGGACAAACACCTACAAGTGCATTTCTGTTCCCAATTTAGAAGGCAATAAGGTGATAACCTTCTATCGCACGAGGATGATAGAGGCTTTCCAGCTCTTTTGGAAAGCTGAAATACCCCAGAGATGAGCACGTTGTCACCAGTGGGTGCTGCCAACATGAATTGATGCTCCCAACGTAAGTGCCTTATTTCCAATGGAACTACTGCTGATGTATTGCCCACAGTTGGCTGCTCCAGCCCTGGTCCAGGTGACTTCTCCCCCTTCTCTCTGCTTTTTATCTTCAGTCCAAGTGGGAAATGAGTGGCAGGGAGGGATGAGGAGGAAGGGCCATTGTTAGGACTGTGCATTCCTGAGGCTGCTCAGTGCCAGCTCCATCCCTGATGCAGAGATGTTATCAGCATATATGGGAATGACACTGCTTCCAGCTCAGGGCTGTCCCCTGACCCTCTGTTGGGGCTGGGGGCTCCCAGTAGCCCACAGTCCTGTCCCCCCTGACCCGAGATCCCATGGGATGCCAGGCGCCGATGCCAAGACAGCACAGAGATCATGGCTCCCAACCCCACCCCAGCCAGGATGTGCCCCAACAGACGACCTCCCCGCAGCTCCTTGACCCCATAATGGTCTATTCTCTGTGAGCAGGAGGAGGAAATGGCCTCAGGCCTCGTTAAGCGGTGCCTGGGCGCCTCGCTGGGTCGGGGGTCAAGGCTGGTGTCACCCTGCATGGCCGGACGTGGTGTTTTCCTGCCCAGTGCTCGGTGATCGACGCAGCAGACAGCGAGGAGAGGGGTTGGGCGCTGCCACATGCAGAGACCCTGGAGTAGGCAGGAGGCACTGGGACAACTGGGAGCAGTGGGGAATTCTTAAGTGCACTGGGAGCACTGGGGGGTTACTGGGAGCACATGATCCCTGTAACACCGCATTGATTTCGCGTCCTGCAAGACCATCCGGTACCGGTAAGGGGCACCGGCAGCAGCGGGCACAGAAACCACGCGTGCTCCGCCTCTCTATAAGCCCCGCCCCCTCATTGGACCACGCTCCTGACGTCACGTCCCCTCATTGGACCACGCCTCTCCCTCGGCCACGCCCTCAACAGCTTAGGCCCCGCCCATGAGCGAAGACACCCCCCCCCGTTTCCCATCGCACCGCGCGGCGGAAGGGGTGTGGCTTGCACCGGAAGCGGCGGGCAGGCGGCGGGGCGGCCGCAGCAGCAGCAGCCCGCGTCCCGGCGCCATGTCGGGCCGCTGCTGCCAGGGACAGACACCGAGCCGCGACATCCCGGGCCCCGGCAAGCGCCTTGCCCTGCCCGACGGCGCCCCGCTGCCGCCCGGCGATTACAGCACCACGCCGGGGGGCACCGTCTTCGGGACCACGCCGGGCGGTGAGCGCTTGGGCCCGGGCTGTGGGCCTGGACTCGAGCTGAGGGGTCCGGTGTGGGGGGGGGGGGGCGGGCGGGGCGGGGGGGCCGTGGGTTGGGGTTTTTTGGGGGGGGGTTTCTCCTTTGCGGGGGTCCTCGTGGCCCAGCGGGGCCGTGCCGGGGTTTTCGGGGCCGCCCTCCCGCTCCCAGGGCTCGGATTTGTGCTTTTCTCTTTTTTCGTCTCTTAGAAAATCAGCCCCGCTGCTGAAAAAGGTTTGATGTGAGGAGCGGGAATGATGAAACCGTTCTTGAAGCCGTGCCAGGAGAACAAACCGAACGGAGGCAGAGCATTGTGTTCTGTGGGCCGTTCGGGCGTGCGTTCTCTTCACAGCATAAAATGTTCCGTGGGGTAAAACGTAGAGAGAAAAGGGAAGTCGGTGCTGCTGATGCAGGCGTGTTTGGATTGGGGAAACTGAAGGGTTTGTGTTATTTCTGCCACGTCCTCCCTCCGATGAAAGCAGCAAATAGCTGAAGGCACTTAAATAGCACTCACAGTAATCATGTCATGGAAGAGAGGAGAAACAGAATGCTTCTCAGGCGTGCTCCGAGTAGCTGGATGGAGATGGATAATAAGGCTGCAGTGCAGCACAACGAGCCCTCCAGGGTTATCGCTTGTTTTTCTGTGCTGCAGAGTTAATGAATGTCCAGAGTGTGGAAGGAAAGCACGGAGCTGTTTGCTATGAGGGTGTGCACGCCTGGCAAAGCCCTGGGCTCTCCTGTGACAGCACAGTGCTTTTGTGCCTGGGTCCCAAAGGAGAGCAGTTCTGAGAGTGGTTTTCAATTCCTTTCACACCGAACTGCCTTTGTTGAAACACTGAGGTTCATTAGAGGTGCTTGGAGGTGAGCCAGCTTGAGCCTGGAGAGCAACAGCAAATGTCTGCTGAGAGAAGCCTGGGACTTACTGCAAAGTTGCTGAAGTCAGGAGGAAGAAGCAAATCATTGCCGTGCCAAAGAATAACTGAACACTGGGATCTTTGAAGCCCCCTCTGCCTGCAGGCAGCGCTCGGCTGAGGGGTGGAAGGAGGGCTCATTGCCAGCCCTACTGGGTCAGTGTCAGCCCCAGCAATCTGCAGGGTCAGCAAAGGGTTGGTGGGGTGAGGAAAGTCCCTGATAGCACAGGAAAAAGCTGGTTTTCCTGACTGTGGGCAGCAGAGGTTAAAAAAAACAAGCACAGTGTAAGGGAACGAGGAGCGTGTAAGAGGTGACGTGTGACCTCTCAGCAGAGCCCTGTTCTTTGCTATTCCCTTCATGCTTGCCTTGGCACCATGCCCTTTGCTGAGGGCACACTTTGTCTTCCCCCGAGCCCACGTGTGCCTCAGCAACATGCAGCAAGAGCTGCTCTGTGCATCCAAACCCCTTTTGGAAGCTTTGAGCCCCTCTGCTCTGCTTGCTGTGGGTGTCAGCTTTCAGGAGTGCTGGGCACGTGAACCAGCAGATGAATGCATGGGAGGGAGAGCTGCGTCTGCCTGTTATGGACTGTGCTCCTGATACTTGGTACATGAGCTGCAGTTCTAGGAACTGCTGTCCTTGCTGTCGCAACCTCCCTGTAATTTAACACTTAGTGCTCAGGCTGTCAGTTGTCCTTATCGAATCCAGGCCAGCTGCCACGCTGCAGTTCTGAATTGGATTCATTCCCCTCTGTGATCAAGCAGAACGGCTCAAACTCAAAATATTTTACTGGGGAGTAGCTTCCATTTGTTTTGGGAGCTCATTAGCAGGGTGATTCGATGTCCTTGAAACGTAATACACCGTTGCTTGGGGTTTTTTTAACAGTGCTTCAAAACAAAGTGAGTTTAATGTTGCTGGGCAGATGTTCTTGGAGTTTGTTTGCCTGCATTTGTGTGCTTGTAGCTGAAGCTTTTCAGGCAGTGCTCAAGAAGTTGCTTTTCCCTTGTGCCTGGAGGGAAGCAGAGCAGCAGGGCGGTTTGCAGCATTCCTTCTAGGCACAAAAAAGATGTTTGTCAGTAATTCCCTGAATGAGGGCCGTGGTCTGTTTGGAGGAATCCGATTTTCTGTGCGTGGTTTTGAGCTTTTTCCAGCACCAGTTCCTTTACTAGGAATGTGCTGTTCATTCTGGTGTTATTCCTAGAAAACAGCACGGAGTTCCAGCTCTGCAGCTCCCTCTGTGCCTTGCTGGAGCTGTGCTGCTCAGGCAGGGGGGGGCAGGATGTCCTCTGGTTGAACATTCACTGTTTGCTGTGGGTTTTCCTGTGCTCTGCACCATTCTAACATAAGATCCGCTGCAAGCAGAGTTTTGGAGTCTCTCTTTCCCTCTTTGCTGCTGCTTGGGAGGTGACACAGATGTACATCAAAATCCTAAAATCTGACCTCATTGCTTTTTCCTTCCAGGAACCAGGATTATTTATGATCGTAAATTCCTGATGGAGTGCCGTAATTCTCCGGTTGCCAAAACACCACCTTCTGACCTTCCGGACATTCCAGGTGTTACCAGCCCCATTGTGGAGGAGTTAAAGATTGAAAACAACCACGTCCAGAACTACAATGAGAAAGCAAACGTAGGTGGGTACACGAGGACAAGTGAGCGTGCTGCTGCTTCCTGCATGGAGCCAGGAGATCCCTGTAAACCACAGCTAACACCAAGTTCTGAATCATTTCACTGTAATTTGTGCTGTTGCTACTCGTTAATTAAGCATTTGGGATCTCTCCTGTGGTGAGAGAATGGGTGCAGCTGTTATTTTTGGCCTTTATCCTCTGCCACATCTCAGCTGTTTGCCTTCTTTTTAAATTGAGTTATAATTCAGGGCAGGAATTGGTTGGGAGTTTTTTTGGGTGCTTTCTGCAGAAGCTTGCAGCTCTGCTTCAGATTGCAGGGTGGAAGTTGGTTCACAGCAGAATAGAGGGCATTGACCAGTGTGCACGTGAACACATCTGAAGTTACTGGAGCAAAAAAGAGCAGCTGCTGTTGTTGAGATTGCTCCTTGAAGGAACCTGAACCTACCAAGTGTGATTGATGGTCCTAATCCCTAAAAATAAAGGTCTGAATGCTCATTAGCTGGCTTCCCTGCTTACTCTAAGCCAAATCTTTGCAGGGTCAGTGTTGCTTAATGGCTTTTTTACACACTGGTGACCTTTAGTGGCTCACTGGCAAACTGAAGCATTGGCTGCATGCTGCGTGCCTGCTTGGCTCTGCCTTTTTGGTTTTTAATCCAGAGAGGTTCTGCTGTCAGAAATAGAGCCCTGCTGTTCCTGCTGGCATCCTATCAGGTTGCATGAGCTAGGGAGACATCTATACAGGTAACTGAGGTAAAATATCTCTCCTGTCACTGGCAACAGAAGTCTGCAGCAGTGAAATCCAGGTGTAGAAGTGACACAAAGGGCGTTTCTTCTGCTCCTGGCTGTCTGCCTGAGGTTCACTCTGAGCAGAGGGCCTGTATTCTGCTTGCACAGGCTGCTCTTGGTGCCAGACTCGCTTCCTGACTGCAGACCTGAAGTCCAAACGAATGCATTTCTTAGGCAAGCCTGAAGGCTGTTTGACTACAATATTTGATGCTTAATTTGAAGCTTTTAGGACTCTCATACGTTTGCTCTGTCTCAACAGGTGAAGAAGAGCAGTTTGACATGGACATCTAAAGCACGTGCCCTGAGAGTGCTTCTCCAATGAAGAACCAGGACCTTGTTTGAGGATTCCCACCAGCCAGGCTTACAGCAGCCCATGCCTTCAGTGCCTTCCTGTTCCTTGGGAAAGGCAGTTTATTCCCTTCTGAGAACAGAGTGCATCCTGTTCCAAGGACTGAAGCTCAGCCTCTCCGTGTGGGTGTGAATACAGTGCAGACCCTGCTGATTGCTGGGGTGCCAGGGGAGACAGCCTCAATGATTGTTTTTGTTTCCAGTTTTATGCTTTTGTTAATCATTTTAATACTGTAAAAGTTACAGAAATGCAATATGAGGGAGAAATAAATCATTTGGACTCTCCTGGTATGCAATAAATATTGGTTCTGGTCTGTATTCATTCCAGCTCACGGGAACTAGCAGCCTGTTGCAGAATTGGGGTGGTTTTGCAGTCAGGCTTGGGATCAACATCTGATGACTGCAGGAAATGTGTGCTCTGAGCCTGCTTCCAGAAACAGTGATCAAAAACTCTCCATCGTGTGCTTTCAGATCATTCTTTTGCCAGGTCGTGGTGCAGATGTCCCTGAGTTTTTTTTTCTCCTGCTCATCCTCTCAAGGCTCAATCAGGCTTTAGAAGTGTCTCATTGAGTTCAATAGGAGCCACCTGAGGTGCCCTGATGCTCTGTGCTGCAGCTCCTGCCCTTCCAAAACTGCCCATCTTCTCCAGCATGTGAGCAAACTGTCACGTTTCCTAGGCTTTCTTTATGATTTGTGCTGAAACTCGTGTCTTTAGGTATCCTTATGTAATGAGAAGGAATTAAGGTTTGTGAGTTTAACTTGGGAGGCTGGAAATAAATTTGCTTGATTTCGAGGGATTTTCAGCTCTCCCCCCAAAAATACATTTACATTTCTGGTCTCTGTGCAGTGTAACGAATGTGAATTATGCAGTAGTCTCTAACGTGCTGCTTCATTGCTTTAGAGGTGGTGTTAATGCCTGAGGAGGTGTTTCAAAGGAAAAGAAAGCCTGTTAGGACATGGCCTGAACTTGGGACTTCCTAAAAGACAATGAGCGTCTCTTTAAATCACTCTTGGCCGATAATACTTAAATATCTGCTAATTGAGCTCAATGGTGGCATTATGACCTGCAAGCCTTTAATAACAAGTAACAAAAGAAACAGTCGTAGCAATTGATGCAGATAAAGCTCGCATTTGTGAAGATAAGATTCGGTGTTTTTTGAAGCCTTAATGGGGACGCATTCAATCTCCCTGCCTTCAGTGTCACTGGGTTTTGAGGCCAGCAGCTGCTCTTGCTGTGTGCTGTGCCCTGCAGCTGGGCCTGGCTCATCTTTCCAGCTCAATGCATCCAGAGGAATGGCGCTGCTGAATTGCAGAGGCTGCGGCTCCACGTGTGCTTGGAGTTAACCTGGAGTTCACCTGCTTTCTACACAACCACAGCAGCTCCAGCTGCGCTTTCTGATCCAGATAGCAGGTTGGTTGAGAGGAGACCTCGCCCCCGTGGTGTTAATTTGTCTGATCTGGTTGTTTTGGGTAGAGCAAAGAGCTGTGACAGGCTCACAGGATGACGTTTGCAGCAGTGAGCTGCGTGCATTTGGTGCTGAAGCTTGCTGTCCTGCTGTGCCCTAACCTAAACGTTTGTCATTCATCACAAGCACGGCTTTCCAGCTTAAAGGAGTTGCATGACCTTTGAGATCAGGCGTGGTAGAAAAGCAAAAGAAGTCTCCTATCTTGAGGTGAACAGATGCACTTAGTTATCTGTAAGGTACAGAGATGGGCAGAGCCCTGCCAAGTGCTCGTGCCTTTGGGTGCTGCCTGCTGATGCAGACCATGGGTTCCTGTATCAGTACAGAAGCAGCTCTGAGGGTTTGTTGGTTTGTTTTTTGAACGAGTGACAGCTATTGCAAGTAATTCCTCTAAGCCCTGTTACCTTCCCCCCGTGCTCAGGGGGGTCGCAGCATGCAGCAGCGTGCATTTAGGTGCTAAGTATTTTGTCCATGCCCGAGATAGCTATGCATCGGTGTCTGCGTGCATATGTAGATCTGGGGGAGCATCAAAGCCCCTGCTGCCCACCCCAGCGATGTGGGGCAGAGGGAGGAACACCTGGCCGGGTGTGAATCGGGCTCTGTGCAGGTTGGGATTCCTGCAGGATGGGCAGAGTGGGGCCCTGGGGCCATGGGCACATCAGTGCCCTCAGTGCTGCACCACGCAGCTGTGGGAGGTCGGTGGTGGTGTGGAACTGTGCGACCCAGCGCCTCTTTGCAGCCCCACATCCTTCAGCCAGGCTTTTTGGGTTAATCTCCTGCATGCCTGGGGCCCCAAACCAAGCAGAAAGCAGCTTGGTGCTCCCACAAAGGCCCCTTCTGGGTCAGCGTTTGCTCCTCACCCACTGCTTTGCACCAGGAGAGGGGACAGGCGGTGCTGCTGTGTGCACAGCAGGAGGTGAAGTGGCTGTGGGTGGCTGCATGGCACAGCTGGGATGCTCTCAGGGTGGTACAAGGGGACAAGTGTTGCTTTTGTCGCTGCATTTTCCCTCCCTGCCCCTTTTGTCTGCAACAAGGCAGAGCGGAGAGCCTCCGTCCTGCTCCACGTTCCAGTCATGGGATTGGCGCTGCCTGCCCGACCTGAATAGTGCCTTAGTCAACCCACTGAGCAAATATTGCCCTGTGCCTTTGATAAGCCCTTCCATCTGTTTGTTCTCACTCCTTCTTTCCCCGTGCATCCAAAATAAACTGCGCTTATCATCGCCTCCTGGGGCGCGTGCAGCCTTGGGCTCTGCAGAGCAGAGAGCAGCACCTGGGTACAAAACATGGGGCAGGAGACGGTGCCACAGAGAGCTGTGCCCATGGGAGGGCTGTGGTGGCGTTGGAGCCATTGGGCTCCTGCATCCCCTCCACCCATCCCTGCCACGTGTTGCCCCTGATGGAGTGCTGAAGGGTTGACAAGGGTTGGGTCTGAGGTTAGAGCTGGTGTTGGGCCCATAAGCACAGCCTGGCCGTGCTCCCTGGAGAGCAAGACCCCACAGCAAGCAGCACCAAGGGCTGCAGCTGCCCCTACAGTTTGACTGTCCTGAGTCTGTCCTGCAGTTGATGTGTATTGGGCAGAGCAGCTCACAGATCCATCCCCATCCCCAGCTCTGATACCTGTCACGGCGCAGCTTTGATGTCCCCAACAGCCACAATCCCAGTCTGTGTTTCCCCCCCTGCTCTCACGGGGCCCGTCTGCCCACGATAACTTTTGAACCCGAGGCTCCTTTCAGACAGAGGTGATGGAGGGGCTGAGATGTCGGAGATACGGCTCCTGGAGAGGGTCTGGGGGCCACGAGGGGCTGCGAGGGGCAGAGGGCAGGAAGCTGGCAAGCAAGGGAGGGAGATGCTCGGTGCCCTCTCGGTGCAATAGCATCTAAGAGCGCATTCCTAGAATGCAAAGGAAGGGTGAAATAATGTGGGATCCATCGCAGGAGGAGCGCAGAGCCCAGACCGCGGGTGTGTGCCCCCCGCCGGGGGTTAGCAGCACGGCCGCCCTCTCCCAGCGCTTAACAGCTCCCGCAAATGACCCTCTAATGACGGAGAGGGGACACAGACGAGCTTTGTTTCCCCGCCGCCGGGATGTGGATTGGAGATGTGGAATCGGGGCAGGGGGTCCGACGGGGCAGCGGTTTCAGCCCCATTCCATCCTCCCCCCCCCCCCTCCTCCCCGCTCGAGGTAACACAGCGGGAGAGCACAGCCCTGCCCTTATCTCCGAGGGGTAAATAAATGGAAAATCCACTCAGCCTTCCATTTCCCTTCAAAGGCTGCAGGTGCTTCCCGGCTTGCTGTTGAGCAACCCGCAATCTGCGATCAGGGTGGGAACACCTCCTTCATCACCCTCGTTTTCCCGTTCCTGGAGCAGGCAGGGCGATATCTATTGCCGTGGCATCGTTTGGGGGTCCCTTTGTTCTACAAAAGTCCTTCGTGTGCTGCACGCAGGGAGCCCCCAGACCCCCCCCCACCCCATGCCTGAGGCTGTGCCTCGTGGCAGAGCACTGGGGGGGGCTGCGATTGTGCATTGCTCCTGGGAGGTCGGGATACCCATTTGCTGCCCAGCTGCTCGCACAAGAGCTCGGGGGGTGCATCCCAAAGACCACCCAGCAGTGAAGAGAGGAGGGGTGAGAAGGTGGGAAGAGGCACAGATTGAGCGACTATTGCTTAAATACATAATTTATTGAGGGGTTGTACAAACACAGCTCTTTCTCTACCACCCGATCCAGCGAGGGGCTGGGAAAGTGTGAGCCCAGTGCAGATGGGAATGGCAATGGATGGGGCTCTGGGACAGGCAGGAGGGCAGGGGGGCTCGGATATGCTGCTTCCAGGGGCACCCAGCTCACCTGGGCTTTTACTGGAAACTTTTAATACAAATCGGATAGAATTTTATTCCAAGTACAATAGAAAACATCAAAGAAAATGCCCAGAGCCTTGAAGAACGCTGCAAATCTCAGTTCTTTGGATGCTGAGCGTGGATGGATATCAGTGCTGCAGGTGTCCCTCGGAGACCCTCCAGCACCAGGAGGTGTTCATGGTGTGCAACACACAGAGCCCTGCACAGCATTCACCAGGAGGGAGCTCGGGGAGCTCAGACTTCTCCTGCAGAGCAGCACCCAGTGACCTCCCCACGCATCACCTGGGTCTGGCTGTGCCCTGCAGCACCGCCACTGCAGGGACGTTCCCTGCTGCATCCCCTCTCCTGTCCCAGCACAGCCAGACCTGCAGGCGTGTGGGATGCAGAGGAGCTGTGGGCTGGGTGCAGTGGGGGCTGAGCTCCCTCAGTTGCAGCCGCACTCCTCGATGACCATATCCTCGTGGTGGCGTACGACGATCTCACCCTTCTCGTAGTACAGCATGGAGAGGGGGCTCATCCTGACGGGGGAGCAGGCAGGGCACGGCACCTGGTTGGGCTTGTAGAGCTGCAGCAGGCTCTGAGGGACACATGGGGACATGGCATCAGGTCCCATCCCTGTGGGAGGCAGGGAAGGTGGGAGCACGGGGCAGCAAGACCCTCTTACCTGCATGTACGCGTGATTGGTGGGCTTGAAGCTCTCATCCACAGGTGATGGGCACAGCCCCTCGCAGCGGTAGGCGTTGTACTTTTTGGGGTAGACGATCCAGCTGCCCCAGCCTGTCTGTTCAAAGTCCACTGTCATGTCCACCCTCCTGCACAGGGACTTGGCCTCATCCCCCTGGCTGGCAGCAGGAGCATCGTTCATCCTGAGCCTCTGCCTCTCCTTCCCGGTGCGGCGGTGCCGACGAGTGCTGACATCCCTGGGACCATCACGCATGATGTGCTTGGAGTTCTCCACTGCCCTGAGGAGGCTGTGCTCTCCAGGTGCTTTGTCCTTGGAGAAGACGAGCAGCAGGACGCTGTCTGCCAACTCCTGGGGCACTGCTGTCTCCTGGGGGTCCGGTGGGGCAGTGAGCGGGGCGGCTGAAGGATCAGGAGCTGTGTCCTGGTGCAGCCATGCCCTGAGGGTGTTGGTGATGTTGAACACTGCCCAACCGGCCTGATGGAATGAGGGACCACCAGCCACGGTGCCCAGGAAGAGTTCCTTGGTGCCCTGGCACGGCTGCCGCGGGCTGTGGTAGATGTCCATGGTGATGTTGTGGGACAAGGACAAGGACAGAGCATGCGGACGGATGCGCAGCTCGGCCAGGCTCACCTCCTGGCTGCCAGACAGGGATGTCATATCAAAGGAAAAAGCCCAGCGGGAGCCGTTCTGCAGGGAGCCTGGAAGGCAAGTGGGGACGGTGAGCACCCATGGGGTTGGGATGGGGGGGATGCTCAGGGATGGGGATGCTCAGGATGGGGATGCTCGGGGTCAGTGCCTGTCCTAAGACAGGGGGGCATGGGGACTGTGCTGTTCCAGCTCAGAGGGATGTGCAGGGACAGCGCCGGTCCCGGGACAGGGATGCTCAGGAACGGGGATGCTCACGGACAGCGCTGATCCCGCGGTAGGGGAGCTCGGGGAAGGAGATGCTCAGGCATAGGGAGAGATGCCAGTCCCGGGACAGGGGTGTGTGAGCACAGCGCTGTCCCAGTGCAGAGGGACGCGCAGGGACAGCGCGGGATCCGGTCTGACTCACCGTGCGGGGCGATGCTGAGCGCGGTGGCGGAGGTTGCGCGGAGCGGTGCGGGGGGAGCGCGGAGCAGCTGCAGCATCAGCGGGGGACAGCGCGGGGGTGCAGAGCGCAGCAGAACGGAGCAGCAGAGAAGAAGCAGCAGCAGCAGCAGAGCGGGGCGCAGTGGGGTCCGCATGGCTGCACCGGGACGAGCACCGCTCGCTATTTGTAGCGAGGACCCGAGCGCCGCCCCGAGAGCCCCCTCCCCTCTTTTTCCCGTCCCTGTCATCCCTCCTCCTCCTCACCCCTCCCCGCATTCCCGTCCCTCCCGGGATCCCCCAGCCCCACTCTTATATCCGATGGCACAAAAAGTCGTTAATTATTGTTGGTAGTGCTTATTTATTTATGTATTTCTGAGCAGATCCCCTGCCTGGCCATCTTCTCCACGTTTACCAACCCCAACAGATTTCTCGTCTGTATTTTGCTCTCGGATTTAGGCCAGTGTTAACAGTCAGTGTTCTTTGGCACAGTTCATCTGCTCAGCTTTATCCCCTGCATGCAGCACCGGCGCTGGAAGGAGCCTGGGGGGGCTCACAGAGCTGCTATTGATTCCTCCCAAGGAATGAACGATCCCATCCATTCCCTTCCTCCTCTAAATAATCTCCACTAGGGCTGCGGAGCCCCACGCAGTTATGGGGCGTTGTGCTGTGGAAGCCATTGATGCTCTCCTCTGGACTCCTCCACTTTCACTGTCATTTCGAGAAGAGGGGATCAGAAGAACCCGCAGAGCCCATGTGGGACTCTCAGACTGGTCTGCCTTTCTCTGCTCTTTTCTTCATGATCTCCAACACGTGATTCACTTTTTTTCAGCTGCTTCGGGGTTGTTTTCATCTGTTGTAACTGTAACTACAGCAGTTACAGCAGGGCAGCCCATTGCAGGTGTTCTTTCTGAGCAGAGTTGTTGTCCCACGCCACCCCTTGATGTCCCTTCCAACCTCAGTTGCTTTGTGATCTTTTTGGCTCTTCGTCCCATTTCTCTACCTCCCAGAGGCTCTGAAGCCCCGCCCGCTGGCCGGCTGACTGCGTGACGTCATGGCTGAGCACGATGACGTCACATCTACGCGGTGACGTCACCTCCCTCTCTCCGCCGGCCGCCTGTAGGGGGCGCCGCCGCCCTCGGGATGTGGGTCCCACCGCGAGCATCGCCCTTTTAAGCCGAGAATCGCGCGAGAGCAGCTCTTGGGACCATGAAACCGGGAATCTCGCGAGAGCAGAGCTTGGGACCAACTCTCGCGAGAACGTCCACAGCAATGGCGGCGGCGGCGGCGGCGGCGATGGCGGCTCCCGCGGAGGAGAGCGCTGAGGCGGCTCCCGAGCCTCCGGCCTCTGAACCGCCCGCCCCGCCCGAACCGAGCGCAGCCGACGCCGAGAGCGGGTAGGGCGGGAACAGAGCACGGGGCTGGGAGGCCGCGGCCCGGGGTTGAGCCGCGCTGAGGAGTCGTTTGTGGCCTTGCAGGGGGGAGGTCGCGCCGGGGGACGCCGCCACCGCCGCCGCCGCCGCCGCCGCCGCTGTGGAGACCGAAACCGCGAGCGGAAAGGACCCGATGGTACGTGGGGTACATAGCGGGGCGGGGGGGGTGCGGGCTTTGACGGCGATAACCGGCGCTGTGCCGCCCGCAGGAGGCCGCCCCTGACGGCCCCGAGGCCATGGACACACAGGCGGGATCGGTGGACGAGGAGAACGGGAGGCAGCTGGGAGAGATCGAACTGCAATGCGGCATCTGCACCAAGTGGTTCACGGCGGACACCTTTGGCATCGACACCACGTATGTGTGCGGCGTGGAGCTCGGGTGGCCCCTTGGTGGCCTTTGGGTGGCCCTCAGGTGTCCCACTGGTGGCCCCTTGTGTGGCTTTTGGGTGTTGATGGCCTTCAGGTGCCCCTTTGGTGGCCTTTGGGAGGCTCTCAGGTGGCCTTTGGGTACCTTACGTTGGCCCCTTGGGTGTTGATGGCCCTCAGGTGCCCCTTTGGTGGCCTTTGGGAGGCTCTCAGGTGGCCCTTGGGTGCCCTACGGTGGCTCCTTGTGTGGCCCTTGGATGATGATGGCCCTTGGGTGCCCCATTGGTGGTCCTTTGGTTGGCCTTTGGATGTTGATGATGCTCAGGTGCCCCAGTTGTGGCCAGTGGGTGGCCTTTGGATGGCTCTCAGGTGGCCCTTGGGTGCCCTATGGTGGCCTCTTGTGTGGCCCTCTGATGTTGATGGCCCTCAAGTGCCCCATTGGTGGCCCTCAGGTGGCCCCTTGGATGCCCTACGATGGCCCCTTGAGTGGCCCTTGGATGTTGATGATCCCCGGGTCCCTCTTTGGTGGCCTTTGGATGGCCCTCAGGTGCCCCACTGGTGGCCCCTTGAGTGGCCTTTGGATGCTAATGGCCTTCAGGTCCCTCATTAGTGGCCTTCAAGTGGCCCTTGGGTGCCCTACAGTGGCCCTATGGTTTGGCATTGGCAGCCCCCCACTCATTTCTTTCAGAACCAAACCTCCTCCCTGCATACCACATGAAGAGCTTTCAGTTGGTGCTGCCCTTTCCCCTCTCCTGTCAGAGCTCAGAGTTGCTGGAGGCAGCTGACAGCCACACAGGCACTAAAACCCCACGAAGACAAAAGTTTGAACGTTGTTAATGAGGTCTCTGTGCTTCTGTGCAGCCCTCATTGGAGCACTGTGTGCTGCTCAGTGAGATTCAGTCGTTAGGCAAAGAGGTGGGGGAGGAAAGAAGCTTACTGTTTTCCAGTGATCAACTTCATCTGCTGCAATGATTGCTGACCCAAGAAAGTGTTATTTATGGAGAGAGGGAGCATTCATTTCTTACCTGAGGCAGCACATAAGGCATGCAGTAGAACTTACAAACTGATCTGCTCTTTTCCAGCTCTTGTTTGCCTTTCATGACCAACTACAGTTTCCATTGCAACGTTTGCCACCACAGTGGGAACACGTATTTCTTAAGGAAGCAAGCAAGTAAGTGTCAGAGTTTCACTCATGGAAGCCTTGCATGAGGTGAAGTTGCCTGATGTCAGCTGAAACTGGCAGAAATGACCAGAGAATTTAGCAGCAGGCATTGAGCAGCTCTGTCTGAAACATTGCTGCTCTGCTGCTGACTTCATAAGGCATGGAAATGCTGTGTGTGGTGTGGGATGAGGCTGGGTTTGGAGTGGTGCTGTGCGTCCAGTGAGGCTGTGCTTGTGTTTGTGTGCTGATCTCCTCCGTGGAATGCAACTGGAGCTTTGGGTTATCTTTGTTTTGAAGATCTCAAGGAAATGTGCCTTAGTGCTCTGGCCAACTTAACGTGGCAGTCAAGGACACAAGATGAGCATCCAAAAACCATGTTCTCCAAAGATAAGGTACTTGTGTCACAACAGTCAGCACGTGTTCAAGTCAGCTGTGCTTTCACTGAAGAGCAGCTTCAGCCAAATGTTGGCTTTCAGACTCTTTTCAGACCCAACTGATGTATTTAAGACTGGATTTGGGTGTTTTTTTTTTTTAACAGGATATTATTCCATTCATTGATAAATACTGGGAGTGCATGACCACGAGACAGAGACCAGGGAAGATGACTTGGCCTAATAATATTGTCAAAACTATGGTATGTAGTTGGGGTTCATGGGGGGTTTTTTGTGAGTGAGAACTGCGGCCTGACGCTCAAGGAGAGCAAAATGGGGAAGATTTGTTAACAAAATTTGATATGATCTCATTCTGTTCTCTGTTTCAGTGTAAAGAAAGAGATGTGTTCTTAGTGAAGGAGCACCCAGACCCAGGGAGTAAGGATCCTGAAGAAGACTACCCAAAGTTTGGGCTTCTGGACCAAGTGTGTGATGGCAGATGGAAGGAGAGCATCCTGACTGGAGGGGGGGGAAGAGGAAGGGAGGGAGGCTGGTTTTGCTGCTGTCTTATGCTCTGTGAAATAAAGTATCCAAGATCACACGAGCCAGTGTTGTGCCAGGAGGAGTGCAGCACGAGGAGGTGCTGTTTGTCTGAATGTGTGCATCTGCTTAGTTCTCTTTCTTTCCTTTTCCAGGATCTTGCCAATATTGGTCCTGCATATGACAACCAGAAGCAGAACAACGCTGTGTCCACGAGTGGCAATTTAAATGGCAAGTTCTTTAACGAGGCTCTTTATGGTGTTTTTTCCCCTCAGGGTTTGGGGCAGAGCTGCACTTCCCCAGCCCTGCAGCTGGGCGGTGCAGCAGTTAAACCCACTGTGAGCTGAGGTTCTGTGTCGTGCTTTCCAAACACACCCAGCCAATCTTGCTGCCCTTTTGCTGCTCTCCTCACTCTGGGACTTGCAAGGAGCCAGGGGAAATATTTGTGATCTGTTTTCCTCAAACTTGCTGCTTGCATTTTGCTGCTGTTCCATTTTTATGCAAGGACAGCTGTGCTGAGAGCTTTCTCTCACTCATTAAGATGAATCTCAGCCGTCCTGCTGTGGGAAAACTGAAGAGCTGATGAGGTTTCTTTGTGCCCAAGGCTGTGCCATTGAGTGTGAAGCCTGCTGAACAGCTAGCAGGAGGTGGCTGGGGCTTTTAACAAGAGGGTTGAAGCTGCACTGTCTCCATTTCATGCACTGCTTGTTGTTTTCTTTACTGGAAGTTTGTCACATACGTGGTGCCACTTCTGTTCCTACAGATGGAGCCTCTCTGGGAGGTGAATGTTTACCTTTCAGCTTCTAACACTTAAGTATTGCTGTGTTCTGGAAAGCTTTTGTGCTCAGTTCAGTTAAAAGCTTGAATTGAATGAAAGATCAGAGGTGTGTCCTGGTGTGACTGTGAGAAAGATGCAAACCAAGCATTTCACTTCCTAAAGTTTAGCAGTTAGAAGCTTTTAGTGCATCATATTCTGCCCCCACTCGACTGGCTTAAGGTTTCGTTTCCAGTTGTGTTGATCTTTCACTCTGTAAGATTTGACCTGATATCTTTGGCTATTTGAAATCATAACGCCCGTGGGCTGGAAGCTGTGTGTGCTATTTGGATTCCTTGCATAAGGAAGTGATGAGAAACTGGAAAGGCTGAATATTTCTTGCTGAAGTCCATGAGTGCAGCTCAGCTGGTGTCAGGTGCGTGCAGAATGTGGCGTCCCTTCGAGGTCTGAATCCCTCACAGCACAGGGCTGGTGCTGCTGATGCAAAAGCTTGCTGCAGTTACAGCACACTGCGTGGTTCCTGAAGGTGTTTGTCTGCAGTGCCCACAGACCCCACAGTTCTCCTTCCAAATCAAGAGATTTCTCTATGAAATAGTGCCATGATAAACTGCACGTGCCATTTCACCCATGAAAACATCGATACCTGTGTTAGCTTGGTGAGATTTGACACACAGCTCATCCTGGACATCAGCTGCTGCAGTGTGAGGTGACACAGTGCCAGTTTGGACCGTACTGAAGAGAAACACCTGCATTGCTGTCCTGTTTTATACGACTTGGGCGTATTTCGTTTTGCAGATTGAAAGATGCTATCAGTGCTGGTGTTTCTGCAGCACAGCAACGTCACTGGGGTGACACTGTGCTCAGAATCAGGTGGTGCTGTGCTGTGGAGTGGGTTTCTCTGCTGCTTTTTGCAGAAATAATCCTCAAGCTGTGTGACTGGAATCTCCACAAAGGGAAAGAACAGAGCTGATGGTGGTTGCTGCGCTCATCCTCCCTGATGTCCTTTTTGGTCATAACCGTGTAGGAGGAACCATAAGCGACCCAACTGATGGGAACGAGGCTTTTTCTGTCCTTGTGGAGATTCCATGCTCACAGGCTCTCCCTGCTCAGCAGCTGCTGAACGAGGTGTTTGTTTTCCTCTTGGAAAGGAGGCATCGCCGCGGGAGGCAGCGGGAAAGGAAGGGGAGCGAAACGCAAACAGCAGGACGGCTCAACGACTGGAACAGCCAAAAAAACCCGGAGGTGAGGAGGGCTGGAGCAGCACAGGGACTCAGTCGGGTCGTGAACAAACTGTAGGCACGGCGAGATGCCAACCTGTAGCTTTTGTGTTTCACAGTGACCCGTTGTTCTCTGCGCAGCGTTTGCCACCCCACGGTTACCCCTTGGAGCACCCCTTCAACAAGGACGGCTATCGTTACATCTTGGCTGAGCCAGATCCCCACGCACCCGACCCAGAGAAGCTGGAGTTGGATTGCTGGGCAGGAAAACCGATTCCTGGGGATCTGTACAGAGCCTGCCTGTATGAAAGGGTCCTCCTGGCGCTGCATGACCGAGGTATGGGGTTTGCTGATGGTGTGCAGGTCGTGCTGCAGCTCTTCCTGGGGTCAGCTGTTTCCTGTAACCCCGTGTGCTGAGCTTGCAAACATTGGCTTAAGAGGTGAAAAATGTGAAACCCACTTGTTTACATTCGCTTCCTTCTGGTATCACTGCCTGTTTTAGGGGTCAGAAATGAGCTGTGTTGTGTTTCCTCTTCCCTCATGCAGCTCCTCAGCTGAAGATCTCAGATGACAGGCTGACTGTTGTCGGGGAGAAGGGCTATTCCATGGTACGAGCCTCGCACGGGGTGAGGAAGGGAGCGTGGTACTTTGAGATCTCCATGGATGAGATGCCCCCAGACACAGCTGCCAGATTAGGCTGGTCGCAGCCACTGGGTAAATAACTTCACCAAACATTTTTAGCAGGTCTTGGGTTCTAAACAGGAGTTGGTACTTTATTTTTTTCTTCAGCAGTTTCAACCTAGACTATTGAGTGATGTCTGACTTGCCCCTTGCCTAGGATAAACTCTTTTGGTTCTCTAAACTGTGCAGAACTTCACTGCTGGCAGATCTTTCTGCTGTTATGTGCTTGGCTTTGCTTAACACTTGTGCTGTGTTGAATGGAACTGTTAGCTCAGCACCTGAAAGGACACCTTCTGGGCTGTTCCATGCTTTGTGTGTTCATGAGGAAACGCTGGTTTCTGCAGGGAACCTCCAGGCACCTCTGGGCTACGACAAATTCAGTTACTCCTGGCGCAGCAAAAAGGGAACAAAGTTTCACCAGTCCATAGGGAAGCATTATTCATCTGGCTACGGACAGGGGGACGTTCTGGGCTTTTACATCAGTCTTCCAGAAGATACTGAGACTGCCAAGTCACTGCCTGACACTTACAAAGATAAGGTGAAGCACTTTGGGGCACCGTCAGCCATCAGGCACGCCTGTCCCAGGGCAGAGCCCCTGCAGCTTTGCCATTCTGTGACATGTCCCCAGTTCTGAAGTAAACATTTCTTGATACATTTCAGGCTTTGATCAAATTTAAAAGCTATTTGTACTTTGAAGAGAAGGATTTTGTGGACAAAGCAGAAAAGAGCCTGAAACAAGCGCCGGGAAGCCAGGTGAGCTGAGCACTGGTCAGTGCAGATGCAGCACTCAGTATGGGTGGAGAACCTGCTGAGGCTGCTTTCTCTTTCTCTTTATTCCACGTTACCCTTGCTGATAAGCTGCCTTTTGCCAAGGAACCGACTGCAAAACTTCTCCTTTTCCCTTTCAGATCATATTCTTCAAGAACGGCGCCAGCCAAGGAGTCGCTTTTAAAGACATTTTTGAAGGAGTTTATTTCCCTGCTATTTCTTTGTACAAAGGCTGCACGGTAACAACATGCTTTCAAAGATAATGCCCCAGTCCAGCCATAGTTCTGGTGATGCAGAGTGTGTGCGTGCTGGGAACGGGCCAAGCAAACCCAGTGAAGTGAGCAGAGAGGAGAGGCAGAGTTTTGTGGTGGTGGAGGCAGCCCAGAACAATGCATTTATTCACCTTGTGTTATTTAACCTCATCAAGCTCCTAATTAATGCTGTCCTTTAATGCAGAGATGTATATTTACAGGTATCTGTGCAGGGTGCAGTTATGCTCAGGAGTGTAAGAGGGTCAGGGTTGAAGAATGGGGGGGGGGGGGAGAAATAAAGCGAGCAAAGTTGTCCAGCTTTGTACTGACACATAAATGTTCTCTGTAGGTTTCTATCAACTTTGGGCCATATTTCAAGTACCCCCCCAGAGATGTCACCTACCGCCCCGTAAGTAACAGCATGCATCTCCCTCACCTCACAGCACAGCATTTCAACAGAAGAGGACTGGGAATTCAGTGCTGGGAAGGGAGATTTACAGCAGGGCTGCACTTAGCATCGTCGCTTCTACTCACAGCTTGATGGTGCAGCCAGAAGGAATGCATTTAAAAATCTGGGAGAGGCAATAGCAAGAGAAAAGCAGAACAAGGATGAGGAAAAAAACTTGGTGGTTAAGCCTGGCTTTGTTTAAGCAAACGTGTTTTTGTCTTGGCCTTCTGCTCCCTTTGTAGATGAGTGACATGGGCTGGGGAGCTGTAGTGGAACACACGCTGGCAGACGTCCTGTATCATGTGGAGACAGAAGTGGATGGAAGACGAAGCCCCCCCTGGGAGCCTTGAAGCAAGCAGGGGCAGCACAATAAGGCAGCGACTCAACCCAGGTGGATTTTATTCTGGAGGAACGTGCAGCTCAGAACAACCCATAACGAACAAACACGAAGCCAACGCAGCTCTGGGCAGCAGGTGCAGTGCATGCATGCTGGAGATTCATGCAGTGCCACTGTGCTGAGTCCAAGTCAATGCTGTCCTAGTGTGTATTGTGCTGTTTGTGAGCATCTCTGCGAGGCTCCAGGAGCTCACAGTGTGGCAAGCTGAAGAAGCAACGACTGTGTTGAGATCATTTCCCCATCTGACTCACAACAGTCGTTCAGTGGGGCCAGCTGTGTGCTTGGGCCCACCTGCTGTCTCCATCCCTGCAGAAGCAACTCTGCCACTTCTGCTTAGCTGTGCTTGGCTAAATCTCAACAGTTTCCATCCAGGATTGTGTTGTAACAAGATGACTGCATGTAAGACTGAAATTTGGGCTTCTGCCCAAGCTGGATTTTTTGTTTTTCTTTTGTTTTTTTTTTTTTTACATAAACTGGCAGCCAGTTGAACCATAAACTCTTCTTTTAAACTCTTCCATCGTTTTTGTCTTGTGCTTTTTGTTGAAGTATCGCAGTTTCCCCCTTCATAACCTCCAACCTTAAAGTACCTACTTTAAATCTGAAGCTGTCTATGGAAGCAATGACCAGTTTCCCAGGGACTCCTGCTAATGACAATCATTGCACAACTTTGAATAAATAATCTTCCTGTGCAAAATCACATCAAATAACTTAGAGCTGCTTCGCTAGGGGAAAGGAGGGGAATGCATTTGAGGCTAAGCCCTGTGTTCTGCACATGGAGCAGCACTGCCTGGCCCTGCCTTCTGAACGAGGCTCCTGGGACTCTTCCCTAATAACTAATTAGCCAAGGCCTTTTTACTGCAGACTAATAAAGCTTCAAGTAATTAGCTGGGAGGTCCCAGCAACAACGTGCTCCTTCAGGTACGGCATCCGCTTGCTGCTGGCACTGCCTTCTGAATCAGGCTCCTGGCTAATTAGTTAAGCTTTATTGCTACTGCCTACTATTAAAGGCCTGTCTTGTTAGCACAGGCCAGAATTGAGTTGTATCTGACTTATCTAGGGACGAGATCCCAGCTGTCAGCCCTGAACGAAGCTCTCAGTGGCAGCCTGTGCACTCAGCAGCCCGCGCCATGCGCTGCCGGAGGTGCTTGGCAAAATCCACCTGGGTCTGGGACAGGACCTGGTTGATGATGGTCTTTGGCAGCCAGCCCTGCAGAGGAACAAGCAGCCCATCAGTGCCTCAGGCACAACTCCTGCCTCGCCTTTGAAGCAGTTCGATGCAGGATTTACCTTCAGGTCAATGCTAAGAAGCCACGTTAACTTGGTCTGCGAGGGACTGCCAGCCAGCGGGCGCAGCACCATGCATGTGGGGCCATTCTCAGCTCTGTTAGGAGGACAGGAGCACCCGTGTCAGACAGCAAAAGCTGACACTGCCAGAGCACTTGGAGCTCCTTCACAACAACTTCTCCCTTCCCAAAAAGCAAACTGACCGCTTTGAAACGTCAACCCAACCCTGAGCCCCTGCTGAAAGCCGAGGTGTGAATTCGGAGTTCGTTAAACACCCCAGGTGGTAATTAATTACCTGATAAATCCCTGCTGCTCGGGCATGGCTCCGTGCTTGGTGGACATCCCTGCCAGCACGCAGGTGGAGCCTCGGCGTCGGGAGCACCTCACACTCACAAAATCCCGCGGCCCAACGATGTTCCCAGGTACAGCAGCTGCTGTCTCGTGGGTTATCAGGGTGTCCTTCCCAACCTTCTGGAGGATCTGAGCAGTTCAAACAACGACATGCTGCAAAAAATCCCCCTCGTGGGATCGTGTTTGTGCGTCTGACTTCTCCCCAAGGAACGGGAGGGAAAACCCCTGCGCCTGCAGCAATGCTCACAGCCACTCTTTGGCTGTTGTGACAGCACACAGAGCCGTGTGAACGTGCATCAAGCAGCACAGCAGGATTCTGCTGTCCCCATGAACACCCTGTTTTCCTCCTACCTTCACCTCTTGGACGCTGGGATTCCAGTCTCCCATCTGCTCCATGTTGTCCACCAGCTCACTGTACACAGCATCCAGGGGCTGATCCACCACCACCTCCAGTCGGAACACCTTGCCCACGTCCGGCAGCACTTTGCTCAGCACTTTGTCTCCGTTGTCCTGACGGGGGAAAGGCAGATCAGCACCGCAGATACTCACACGAAAGCCACCGCATCGCTGCGCGGCCACAGGAGGGCTCACCACCACCGTCTCCGTCTTCCAGCCCTCCTGATCCCCGAGGATGCTGAGTGATTTCTGCAGGGCTTCCTCTCCTTGTTTGATGTAGGACATCTCCATCTCGCTGAAGGGCTTCTCCTCCAGCCTGGAGCCTGAGAAAGAGCAGGCAGAAGCAGGAATAAGAGCTCTGACACATCACAATACCTGCCAGCTCTACCTCTATCAAACCAACCTCTCCGTGCCCCACAACTCAGCCTGGAGCTCAGTTCCCACCACCCACTGCATTTCCATTAGCAAAGCTCACAGCACCACGAGCAGATTTCCTCCCAAGCACCGACCTGGAGGAGGCAGATCCCAGGAAAGCGGCACTTACTGAGCAGAGAGCTTCGCCTGCGGACCTGGCTGATCCACGTGCTGGGCCCCGCGCTGCGGCACGACAGCTTGCTGAGCTCCTGGCTGATGGCCACTGCAGCCTGTCTGCGCAGCCCTGAGGGCAGAGAGCACATCACAACACAGCTGTGAGGTGTCAGGTTGGAAAAGTCTCGCTTGTTTGCTTGCACCCAGCCCCGCTCCTGAAGTCCCTGGGAGAGAAGCTTCCTCCCATCGCAATACTGGAGGATGGGAGCGGATCCGTGCTGCTCAGGCTTTGCTCCAAGCACCACATGGAGAGCATGCAACAGCCTGAGAGCAGCTGAAGATTGACTGCCTGCTCCAGAGCTGCAGCCCCACTGGAAACATCACACAGCCTCCATCCCCCAGTCCAGAAGCAGAGCAGAAAGGAGTCGTGCAGACAGCAAAACGCGTGGCGTGGGCCTCTCACCGGTCACGTTGCGCAGGTGTTGGTAGGAGATGGCAGCACACAGCTTGAAGGTGGCAGGCAGCATCTCTGCAGCGCAGTGGAGCTCAGTTCTGGTGACTGCTGCAAATACTGCTGTGCCTCAGCCCCAAGGCTGGGCCTTAAATCCACCAGCTGAAGGATGCTGGCTTGTCAGCACCGAGATAAGAGCCATCACTTACGGCAGTGCCCTGCAGGCCAAGGGCAGCTCCATCTCCCCATGCATCTGCTGGGAGCTGTGGGTCACAGTGGGTGTCAGCAGCAGCGCATGCGCACATCCTTATGCAGCTGCTGCTGCCCAGATACGTGGGGCAAACTCTGCTGTCCCCCTCTGCTGCTGCACGGCACGTGGGGAATGCACATGGATGCTCTGTGCACGTTATGAGGCTGAGAGAACTTTGTAGACAGCTTGCATGGAGCTGCAGCTGAGGGTTGTGCATGCAGAGCAGGGCTGCAAGGTGCATAGGGAGGCTGTGGGGTGGGGGTCCCAGCCACGCTCTGCTGCACTGAAGGGGGCAGCCCCACATATCCTGGGGGTGGAGCAAGAGCAGCGATAATGTTCAAGGCTGAAATGACATCTGTGGGATGAGTTACAGCCCCAGCACTGAGTGCTCCCCAAAAGCTGTGAATCACAGCTGCTTCCTTTGACGTCAGCTCCTGCACTCTGCTGCGGGGATGCTGACCTTGCTCCTCTTTGCTGTCGCAACAGTTTGGTGAGGGGGGGGAGGTCACCCACTCACTGTGGTGCTGAGGGCACACGGGGAACTGCAGCACAGCCCTGTGGTGCTCAGCCCTACCTGTGCCTGGGAATGGCTGCACTGCTCCTGCCCACACCTCCAGGAGGGATCTGGATGGATCCTCTCCAATCAGACTGAGCACAGCACATCTCACATCTCACCTGCAATGGGACGGGGTATGGAGGGACCACAGGAAGGCAGCAGCTGAGCATCCCCTTCCCAGATTGCTGCCCTGGCAATGCAGCAGCACAGGCCTTCCCAGCTCAGAGATTTCCAGCTCTGCACTGCTGTTATCCTAATGGAGCAGCAGCCCCGAACACACGGCCTCGGAGCAAGGACATGCACTTGTTTTTGAGAGGAACTGAACTGCTCCCTCACAGAGCCACCCCTTCAGCTCCAGGGTGCCTTTATTCTAGGGCAAAACTTAGGGATACCTGCAAAACTGAGGTGCCCCTGAATGCTCACTGACTGCACAGTGTCACATCAGCACCTCCTCAGGTGTCCCACAACACCACCATGCCCAGGAGCTGCAAGAAAGGAGGGGTCCCAACCCCACTGTACAGCCCTGAATGTCAAACCTCACATCCCTTTAGACATTCAGCATCTCAATGCACTGCCTGCACCTCACACATCGCTCACCTCTGCTCACACAGCGCCCTGAGCCACCAGGACAATTCCCTTTTCTACCCCCATTCCACATCTCAGTCCCCAGGAGAGGTTCCAGCAGGGGGGAGGCTGAAGCCATGTCCCCTCCCTGTGCAGGGGCCCTGGGGTGCCCCCCCACTGTCCCAAGGCTGCTTTGATGCTATTTGGAGAGCAGAGATCAACCCACAGCCCCCCCCCCCCTCGCAGGGAGCAGGTGATAAGATAACATGGGCTGAAAGGCAGCACCAACGCAGAAACAGACACCAATGGGAGCCTGACAACATCACAGAGCAGAGGACGTGTGGCAACAAAAGCCCTCAAGCTCTCTTTTTTCCTGCCTTGCCTCCAAGTGCTGGAGCCCACAGCACCCAGTTCAGCTCCTACTTGTCTGAACCACACACGTGGTCCTCCCTCAAGTTTGGAGGTGCTGCAGGAGGATGAGGGGGGCAGCAGGGACAGCCAGGCAAGGCAGTTCTGCTGTTTGGGAGCAACTCAGCAGGTAATTAGCTAATTAGTGGGCACAGCTGTAGGCAAACAGCTGCACCTGGGTGAACAGGGGAGGAGGCACAGCACCTGAGCTGTCCCACAGGGACCTCACTGTGTCCTGGAGAGTCCTGCTGTGCCCAGCATCACACAGAGCAACACCCCAAACACAGGCAAAGCTGTTGCTGCTGAGGCCAGGGATTTATTTACAGGTGAAGGGAAGCTCTCACTCAGCTCCACACCAGGAGCCAGAAGACACAAACCAAAAAAAGAACAGAGGTGTTCATCTCTGAACAGAAACTGCCACGCACCCCGGAGCGTCCGGTTACCTCCGAGGGCGCCCCGATATCATCTCTCCTCCTTTTCCTCAAGGAGGAACAGAAACCACGATTTCAGTGCCTGCACCATGCAGCACAGAGCTGAGTTCTGTGGGCAGCCGTTCCCATCCCATCAGTACTCATCCAACGTGTCAGCCCTGGGCACCACCAGGCCACGTTCCTTCAACGCCTGCACCTTCAGCTTCTCTGATTCCTGCTTGGCCTGCAGCTCCACTCGCTGCTCCTCCAGGATCTCCTCGATGGATACCTGCTGCAGCAGCGTGTCGCTCTCTTTTTCCAGGTCCTGCAAGCAAGGAGTTGTGTTAGCAGAGCTGCAGGCTGTGGGGCTGCAGGGCACGGGGCTCACTCACGATCTCCCCCAGCAGCACCACGTTCTCTCCTCTCACGACAAAGATCCCTCGAGGGATGTCTCCATACTTCTTGCCCACGTGAATGCGCTCCACGGTTTGATGCAGCACCAGATTTGCTGTGGCAATTAAAAAAAAAAAAAAAACAAACAAAGAAAAGCCACATCCTATTTTTAACTGCTTTTTCACCAAACAGAGCACCTCACCTGAATCAAACCACGGCCCAAAGCATGCAGAGCAGCTCTTGGACTGCATGACCACGCACCCCATATGCTGAGCATCCTTTAAACCCCACCATCCCCAAACCCTGCAGCCCTTCCAGCCCCAAAACGGAACCCCAACCCAGGACTGACGAAGGCATCCTCGGTGCTGTGGGGTGCGGGGCAAAGATTGAGGGGCTCAGCCGTAGGCACAAGTGCTGTCCCCAGGCACTGAGGGGGGAGGTTGTGCTCAGACGGTGCCGCCCCAAGGTGGGATCATAACACGGGATGGAGGGGGATCGTAAACTGCGCTCCTATCGCTATGCACGGCCACGTGGGTTCCATCAGAGCTCCGCTCCCGGTGCTGCTCCCCTCCCCCCCTCCCACAACGTACCGAACTGATCGATGCTGCGTAGGAAGCCGATCAGCGTCCGACCGTCCCTCAGCAGGACCAGGTGTTTCTCTGCGGGAAACGGGGAAGGGATCAACCCAGGGAACGAACGGTAAAACCGCGCCCCCGACGGTTTTACCCTTCGCTCCCTGCAGTACAACGGAACCGCGGTCGCACTCACTGTCGATGTCCTGGATGAGGCTGGCCGTACCCGGCATGTAGTTCATGGTGGCGGAAGCGCCGCCGCGCACCACGGAACCGCCCCGCACCGGGCGGATAAAGGCGGCGCTGAAAAGTGCTCTGCCCCTTTAAAAACAGCGCCGGTAGTGCGCGCAGAACGGCCTCCCATTGGTTGAGCCCCGGGGTCCTCGTATCCTATTGGTCGCTTCTTGGGGGCTTTCCATCCATTCGTCGCGCTGCGGGGCTGCCTCGGCCGTGCCGGGAGGCAGACATGGAGCCCCGCGGCCGTACCGCGCCCTGGGGCCCGGCAGGCGGGCAGGTAAGGACGGGTGGAGCCGAGCACGGCCCGTTACACCGCTGCTCGGGTTGAGCGCACCGCGTAACGGCGTTTTCCCTACAGGAGCCGCCGGTTCCCGGCTATTGGAACCCCGCGCAGCCCCGAGCGTTCGGCTTCGGGCGTTTTCCCGGCGGAGCGGACGCGCAGGAGCGGCAGGTCGGTATGCGGGGCGGGGGGTTGCGGGTGCAGCTCCACTTCCCTCCCGTTCTGCTCCGTCCCGAACCGAGCTGCGCGTTGTTTCCATGCCGTGGGATGCGCGTCGAAGGCTGCTGTGCCATAAAACCCCGCCGCTTGCGATGCAGTCTCCCTTCATACAAACGTTTCAAAGCCCCAATTTCATGCGGTGGGATTTCATGCGGTGGCTGCAGCTCGGCACTGGAATCCCTGCAGCTCGGGTTTGGGGGTTGGAAAATCTCACCTCCTCGCATCGTTTGTAGCTTGGAAAAGGACATGAACTTTCCTGGGCCGTTTCTCCCCCCCCATCAGCCACACTCAGGGACTCACAGAACCCAACTAAACCTCCTAACGTGCATCCCAACACGTTTTCCCTCCGTTTTCTCCCTTTTCTCCTTCCCAGGGCATGGATTCTCCCTACACCAACGGATCCTACACCGCCCCGTACCCTCCGGCCGCTCCGCATTACACAGCACTGCCACAGACACGAACCTACAGCTGCTCGGGGCCATCCTACAGCACTGACAGCACAGCCCCGTACCGACCCCCCCCCTCCTGCCCCTCCGTGGGGCTGTGGAACACAGGACTGCCCTGCAGAGGGCTGCTCACAGCGCAGGCAGCAGCCTGCTGGATACTCCCCACCTCAGGTGAGACACCATGAGACACCACTGTGCAGCATTTGGGGTTTGCATGGCACAGCTCCCGTGCTGCCCCACAGAGGAAGAACCTGCAGTGCACACCTCTGTGGGGTCCAAATGGTTTCTAAACCCCATTGGTTCGCTCTGCGTAAAAAGTCTGAGTAAAAACTTGGACTTGTCCCTTTCTGCAGGGAGCTCTGAGGTCGTGGGCTGTAGAACAGAAAGCAGACAGCAGTCCCAGTGCTGGGGTTCTTCCCAGAGCTGTCTGGCACAGAACAGTGGTGCTGGGAGTGACTTGGGATTAATGCCTGTCCCCCTTCTCCCCGCAGACCCCAGGGATGCCTGTTCCACAATATCCATATGGAGACCACAGCCCCGGAGTCAACCCACAGCCCAGGGCACAGGAGGAGGCTTGGGCTCCCCCCACCTATGGGGTGCAGCCACAGTATGCATGGCCCACAGCTCCAGCACATGGGAACCCATTCCTCACCGAATCACAACCGCCCTGGACCTGCAGTGGGGCTGCATCTCATCCTCCTGCATGGGACTCAAAGGTACAGTGATGCTCTGATGGTTCTGACACACAGGTTCTGGTTGCAACCAGAGCTCAGATCATGCTGCCTTTCCCAAAACACGCACGCAGCTCCTCAGTGCTCCTTTCTACAAGCAGAGTCGGCTCCCAGGAGGCAGAAACAAAGCAGCAGTTCTGAGTACTGCCAGCAAAATGTCAGGACTGTAATTCCAGAAAGCACTGATAGCAGACCTTGAAGGGCAGGTCTTGAAGTGGGGTGGATCTCATCTAAAGCCTCTGTAACGCAGATTTTGGGTTTTTTTCTCCTCTGATTGTAGGAATCTGCTTACAACAAACCAGAGCAAAGTGCAAACCAACACAGCTACTATTCTGAGGGCAATCACCAGCACTCTGGGACAGTGAATGACCACAAACCACCCACTCTGCTCAACGCCAAGTCCTCTCCATCCAACCCCAAGGTGCAGTACAGCGCACAGCCTCAAATGTACAACAGCACGACTCGGAGGCAGTTGGCTGGAAACCAGGAGGCAGGCTGCAAAGCTGGCAACCACACTTCAATGAATTCTGCAGCCATCCAGCCAGAGATTCAGAGAATCCTACACGTCACAGAGCAGGCTGAACAACTGGAACAAGAGGTGGATGAATTTGTAGGAAAAAAGACAGATAAATCCTACCGGCTTCTGGAGGAGATGCTGACCAAGCTGCTGTTAGAACTGGATTCCATTGAGACTGGTGGGCAGGACAGCGTCCGGCAGGCCAGGAAGGAAGCTGTCCACAGAATTCAGGCCATACTGGAAAAGCTGGAAAGGAAGGGATTGTGAAAGCATATCAGCCACAACGCAGCCTGTTGTGGAGGTTCCAAAGAGTTTTCCCACATCTCAGCTCTTTCTGCTAAGCACTGCTGACAATGAAAAAGCAATAAGTCCTGATTGAAAAGAAGAAAACAACCAACCCAAACCCACAGGAAAGCCCAGCCCCAACCAACAGCTCGGCAGTGGACCAATTAAGAGAGGATGAAAGCAGCAAACTGAGTTGTTTGTTCTGGGATGTGAAGAAGCAGCACCAACCTGAGGTGCTCAACGTTGCTGGGCCTCCTGGAGATCTGCATCCTTCACTCAGCAAGAAGAAAATTCACTGCACAAAGTTCCCCAAACCAGGCCCAATCCACGGTACTGCAGCACTCGTCACATTGGTCACCGTGCAGCCGTAAATGAAGGCTCTTGGTTGTCCATCACTGCTTTCAGCCTCAGATCCCTCACTGCTGTGTGTCACCCCAGGGTTCTTTTTGTTTCCAGTGCGTTCCTGTAGCTCTGCTGATGATGATGATGTGCTGCAGACAGCAGCTGGTGTGAAGCTGTCCTGTGATGCCACGTGGATGTGGGAACACAGCCTGGAACTGTGAATTCTTCACCTGGAAAAAAGAGAGGTGCAGGCAGAGCCGTGCAGCAGCGCAGCCCTGGTCAATGGGAGGTGCAGAAATGCTTTTCAGGTCGCGTGGGTCGAATCCACTTTTTAATTACTGTTAATCTTCTGGTTACAACACGTTAAGCGAATCATTGCTGTGTGTAATGAGATAATAAACCCTGATGACTTTTAAATGTTATTTTGTAATTAAGTTTCTCAAAGTCTCCTCGTTTCGTTTTGTTTTCTCCTTCTTCTTTTAAGGGGAAGTTTTGTGCAGTTTGCTCAGCTTAGAGCTGCCCTGCAGGCAGAGCCCAGCCAGGCTGCAGCAATAGGTGGAGTTTAGGGATGAATGTGGCACATGGAGCCCTCGTTGGGTGCTGCTGGGGGGCTCTGAGTGCTGCAGCCCCACTGCAGGACTGCTGGCTGCTGTTTAGGGATTTACTCTTGGCTGCCACCCTCAGGGCAGCCTGCAGGGCAGTGATGGAGAGCACGCATGGATTGACCTTTGCAGCTCTTTGGATGTGGCTGAGGTCACAGGCAGCAGTCAGACGCACACTGAGGCATCCCTGGGGGGTGGGAAGGAGCTGGAATTGCCAAGGAATTACCAAAGCCAATTTCTTCCTCCGTTACCCTGCTTGTTTTCTATCAGACCAGCACAGCTGTTGGCACAAAGCTTCTCATTCCTTTTGGGTAGGATCTCAACGAGGACTGGAATTTGCTCTTGCAAAAGCTGGTCCGTGTGAGTCACGCTGCAGCCAAGGGGAGCAGATGTGAGATGGCTGCAGTCGGCCCTGCAGCATCCCCTGTTGTCTGTTGTGTGAGCATCACCAGGTCCAAATGCCACCAGGGGCTGACAGTGCTGCTGCTTCCACGGGCAGTCCCTGCTTCCAGGGCTGTGAAGGCAGAAGATTTGGTCGCTTTAGAATCTGAGGAGCTGGTTGAAACTATTTTCTGACATTTGTTTCATTTCCAGCAGCCGGGATCACACCGGGAACAAACTCACATCATCTCCTTGCACCCTCTTTGCTCCAAGGCTCGCTGTCAGATAAAGAGGTCGGTGGGTTCTAGCCGTGCAGGGAGACACGTGGAGCAGCGCCGGTTACCTTGGAGCGGTGACACCGCAATGCGGGCAGGCAGAGCAGAAGAGCTGCGCACAAACTGCCGCGTCGGCAGCGCTCCATGGGTCGGGGCAAAGGTTTCCTATTGCAGCGATGTGGTAGGAAGGGCATCTGATACCTGATGGTAGGAAAAGCTGTGCCATTTGTACACGGTACTGGGGGTACGGGGGGCTCTTTTGGGGCGTTTTAGTGTCAAACTCATCCAGGTAACGAATTCCTTTGCAATGCTTCCTCTTCCGGCGCTGAGCCTCCGCTGCGGGAAGGGTTGGCTGAGGGTGGGGAAGGGAGTGATGGTAAGCTGCTCAAAAAGCACGACGGGCACGGCGGCGTCCCCGGCCGCGGGAGAACCCCGCAGTGACCGCAGCCCCGAACCGCGGTCGCGCATCCGGCTCAGGGCTGTAATTAATTAACGCCGGCCTTTAATTAACGCCGGTCTCGCAATCGGGCGAGGCGTTATCGCGGCCCCCGCGGGGTGAAACGGCCGCCGTATCCACGCGTGTGCGGGGTGCACCGCCCCGATCCCCGCCCGGCCCCACGAGCAGGCGCAACGCGGAACGGAGGCAGCGCCGGGGGCGGGGAGGGGAAGCGCCGCCCCGAGCGGGCGGAGAACGGAGCGGAGCGAGGAGCCGGGCTGGGAGCGGGGCCGGGAAGCAGCGCCGTGCCGCCGCTCGGGCCGGGGAGCCGCGCGGTGCGGGAGCGGCGGAGGCACCCGACGTGCGTGAACGGCCAACGTCGGTGCGTCCGTCCGCGGGAGCGGAGGGAAACGCGGTGGGGAAGCGGAGTGCGGCCTCCCGTTGCGGAGTGCGTGAGGGTGGGCGTAGAGATCCGCGCTCCGTCCATCTGTCCGTCCTTTCCTTTTGTCCAGGGGCGTCATGTCTGCTCAGGAGCAAAATCCGACGGTGTCCTCGCGGATCGCTGCCGAAGCTGCGGAGTGGGACGCGGGGAATGGGTACGAAGCGGTCGCTCCGCATTGGTTTTACTGCAAGGTGACCGGCGGGAGGGAACGGTGGCTGCCGTTCAGCGTTCAGGACTCGGAGCGGCTGGAAGAGGCTCACGGTGCAGGTAAGGGAGCCGTCCGCAGCCCCGGCTGCCTCCATCGCAGCCTGAGTGCAGCCTATGCGATCCGACACGGTGACGGTGCTGCAGCCATTGCCTTCAGCTGTCAGGGCTGTGCTTCGATAGCTTTCTGCTGTAAACACCTCATCCCCTGCATGCGTGATGGGGAACCGGCCTGGTGAGGTCGATGGGAAGCATCAGGTGCGTGCCCGAGGGAAGCAGGGTGGTGATGCACGGGGAAAGCCCACAGCTCCTGCCTGGGTTGCCACATTCCCCCTTTGGAATTTGTAATTGAGACTTGTGTTTGGTGGCAGCGCATCCAGTGCTGGAGCTGTAAGTGAATGGACAGTGAGGATGGAGAAGGGAATGTAAGGTCCGGCCTCGTTAATTTGGCACATGCTGTTAATTATACACCGTTGTGTTGCGAAGCACCTTTGAAAGGGGGGACAAAAACATGAGCAGGAGGGCAGAAATGGCAGCGGGGAGATCTGTCCGAGGAGACACTGCTGCTTCACAGCACGGGCAGTGGGGGCTGTGCTGGGATCTGAGCAGAGCTCTGGGTTCTGGAGGGGAACGCTTTGAACACAGAGATCTGCAGCCCTCCAGGGTCCCAGGGCCACAATTTCACACGTTGCCACTTCAGCCCAGGCAGGGAGAGCCCCTGAAAGGCTGTGCCCAAAGCTGGAAGGGAGGTGGCTGCTTACAGCTGAGTGCTTTCCTCTCACCTGCTGCCCCGGGGATGTTTGGGCATTTCCCCGCAGGCTGTAAGGGCAGCACTGGTGATTGCTGCTGCTGCTGCTGCTCTTTCATGGTGTGAACCCACAGAGCTGCTGCAGTCTCCTGTCTCTGGTTCAGCACACAGCTCAACTTCTTGGCCCTCACACGATTCATTGTGGTCTTCAGGGAAGGATAAAGGAGATGTGGTGGTGCCGACGTCGGGCGGGAGGTACGATGTGCACCTGAAGCAGAGGCAGCGCCTGGCAGTGTTCTGGGAGGAGGAGGTGTCCGAGGTGCGCCGCTGCACCTGGTTCTACAAAGGGGACAAGGACAACAAATACGTCCCCTACTCGGAGAGCTTCAGCCAGGAACTGGAGGTAAAAAACACCCCAGGGGCACACAGCTCACCAACAAGCTCTGCTTCTCCCTGCCAAATGCTGCCCTGACATCCCAAACTCCATCTGCGCTGCTGTTGCACCTGAGGACACGAACTCACAAGAGGCTTTGGCGTTTTCACGGCTGATTAACATAACTAAATACTCCTCTGCTTCCCTTTCCTCCCCATTCCCAGAGCGTTCTGCTCAATGCCCGGTTGTTCTTTGCCAGCCATGCAGCTCTGGCCCATCCTGCAGCCTCTCCCCGCTGTCTTTGTTCTGTGTTTCCCCCTGACCCTGCCTGGTACCACAATTCGGTTCTTGCTGTCGTAGCACAGCCACCCTCACTGTGCTCACAGCTTTGTAAATGCAAGAAACAGTTCTTCCTGCTGCAGTGTCCCACAGAATGCTTGCTGGTCCCTGCTGTAAAGGCTGGGAGCTTTTTCTGCTGTGATTACAGTCATCTGTATTCTAATGTATGAAAATACATGGCTGTGGTGGGGAAGCTTTCTGCTTCTATTCACAACAGTGGCTTTTTGGAAACTTTAGCAGGCGATACAGAGAGAATCCTGCAGCCTCACCAGTTTGGGCCTGGATGATTTCTATGCCTCTTTCACAAAGCAGCACTTGAAATGGGTGGGAAAGGTCTCAAGTGGTTGAATATTCATAGGAATACCCTCAGCTGACTCAGAGAGGATGTTCTCTTCCTCAGGAAGCGTACATGATTGCTGTAACCTTGGACGAGTGGAAGAAGAAGTTGGAATCCCCAAGCAGAGAAGTCATCATTTTGCACAACCCCAAGGTGAGCAGAGCCTGGTGGCCGGGCAGGGACAGCCTTTGGCCATCAGTGCCTCTTGCCAGCCTTCCTGGGAGCCCGGTGATGCTCTTGGCTCCAGCACCCAGTGCAGCACAGTGATCAGCCCTCCTTGCTCACAGCTGATGGTTCACTACCACCCTGTTGCCACCTCCGACGACTGGGGCTCAACTCCTACAGAACAAGGGCGACCAAGGACTGTGAAGAGAGGAGTGGAGAACATCGCCGCTGAGATCCCCAACGGTGAGCGTGGGTAAACTTGGAGCCTCCCTTACTGTTATCCAAAGCACGAAGGGAGCACAGCTCTCAGCTGCAGGCTGGTGGCTGCCTGCTGCTCGCCCTTTCCCTGCTCTGCAGCCGTGACCCAGCTCTGTGAGCTAACCTGGCAGTGAGGACAGGCACGTCTTCCTGTCTAACCCCTTCATTTTCCACTTGGGAAAGTACTTACGCAAACCAAAGTGTGTGGGAAGTAGAGAACAGAATGTTGCCCCACCTGGTGCCCGTCAGAGCTGCAGGTGGGGTCACTGGGTCAGTTCCTTTCCAAGCCTCGGCCTCTAGGGCTGAGCTCCGACCTCTTTCTACCCGCAGGAGAACCTCTGCAGATCGACCACCTGGTTTTTGTGGTGCATGGGATCGGCCCGGCCTGTGACATCCGCTTCAGGAGTATTGTGCAGTGCGGTAGGTGTGGAGCCAGGCAGGGCTGCTGCTCCCATCCACACGCTGCTTTGAGCTGAGGGTAAAGCCTTGGACAATGAGAAACGCTGTCAGAGCGCAATTCAAAGCATCCTGGCGCTCAGCTGGGCTGGCTGCGTGGCCCGATTTGCTGACTGCAGTGGGGAGCGTGAATCAATGCTCACTAAGCCATGAAATCCCACTGTCTGGAAAGGTTTGGGCAACTGCTTTTCATCATTGCATTCTGCTGCTGCTCCAAAATGGGGTTTTTTTTCACATTGGATGTGGGTTTTCCAGCTGTCTAAACCTGCTAAGCTATGACACAGGAACTGATTACATCTGCTCGAATGCAGTCTGTTCTTCCATACGTTCACCTAGCACAGCTGTTTCCACGGCTGCCCAATTAAAATGATGGAAATCAATCTCTCCCCCTTCTCAAAACGGAGTGATCTGTTCTCCCTCAGGCTTCCCCTTGTAAAATAGGCATCTTCACAACATTTGTTCTTCCCTTTACGTTCCTAAGAGTGCTTTTCTTGCCCCTTGTGCCGTCTTAAAGTGTTGCACGTGGGGCAGGAGGCTTGTCACAGATGGGGCAGCAGAATCCAGTAAACACACATGTAAGGACATGGAGCTTCCCTTGAGCTTGTAGTTAAAGATTCAAGGTCTTAGGGTGGCAGCAGCAGATTAAAGACCCTGCTGGGATTTCCCCCGGTAATGATCTTTTCTTTTATCTTATTAAGCGTTGTTGATGCACAAGCCTTGCCCTGCAGCCCTGCTGCTTTGCTAAGAGTTCATGCCTTTTTTTTTTCCAGTCAACGACTTCAGGAGCGTTTCCCTAAGCATGCTGCAAGCACACTTCAGGAAGGCACAGGAGCAGCAGCAGATCGGCCGGGTGGAATTCCTGCCTGTCAATTGGCACAGCTCCCTGCACTCCACCGGTGTGGACGTGTGAGTGCCCACAGCCCTGGGAGGCTGCTGCCTTCTCTTGGCTGCCATTGGGAGGAAGGGGCTCTGACACTCCTCTACTGGGCTCCTGGGCGCTCTGCTTTGGCCTCCAATGAAGGATTGCAATATCAGGATGGCAGCAGGCCTCCTCTGAACTCAAGTTTTGCCTTAGAGATGTGGGAGGGCTCACGGGCACCTCTGACTGCAGTTTCCTCTTTTTTTGCCCCCCACAGGGATCTGGAGCGAATCACTTTGCCGAGCATCAGCCGCCTGCGTCACTTCATCAACGACACCATCCTGGATGCTTTCTTCTACAACAGCTCCACTTATTGCCAGACCATCCTGGACACGGTGGCCTCGGAAATGAACCGCCTCTACCTCCTCTTCCTGCAGAGGAACCCAGACTTTAAAGGGGGGGTTTCCATTGCAGGTCACAGCTTGGGTAAGGCCCACGGATGTCCCCGTCGTGTTGAGCAGGGACTGTCCTGATGCTCAGGTTTTTCCCTAATGAGCCAATGATGCTCTGTCCTGGGTTTTAGGGTCCCTCATTTTGTTTGATCTCCTGACGAACCAGAAGGCTGCTCCTGAGGATGAGCACAGCAGGGAGGTATGAGCTCTGCCCCATGCATGGCGGTGGGGAAGGTAGAGAAGTTCTGAAATGCACCAAGAGAAAAAAGCACAATCCCTGTGGGCTTCGTTTGCAGGGATCCAAGGTAACTTCAAGCAGCAGGGATGCTGAGGAAGTAAAAGAAATCCTGCAGAAGTTGGATCTGTCTGAGTACTGCCCTGCTTTTGAGAAGGAGAAAATAGATGGGGAAGCGCTGGTGAGCAGCTCCGTTGTTTTGCTGTCTTTGTGTTTCTTTGTTTTACTTTCCAGTCCTCCCCACCTGGGTGCATCTTCCCAGTACTGAATCACCTGCACACAAAATGTCTCTTAGCACAGCAGGAGCAGAAGGACAAAGAACAAAGGTCTGACTGCACAGGAGCAGAGCGGCGCGTGCTGATATCTGCACTGCTTACTTTCTAGCTCTTGTGCGGAGAGAAAAACCTTGAAGAAATGGGAATTCCCTTAGGACCACGAATGAAGCTCCTCCATTACATCAGCTCCAGGAGGGAGACGCAGGTATGGCTTTTGCACGGCTCAGTCTCCTCCTTCCCAGCCACATCACTCAGCTCAGACTCGTGCAGGGTCCCCATGCAGCCTGCAGGACCTGCCCTCACCAGGGCTCCTCTGTGTTGTGCAGGGCACCAAAGAACACAGCACTGCCAGGCAGCACAGCACCACTGCCAGCAGGGATGGCCCATACCCAGACATCAGCCTGGGGCAGGTAACTGCTGAGCTGGGAGCAGTGGGACCACAGCAGCACGGAATGTGTCTCATGAAACAAAAACCTAACCCTCCCTTCTCTCTGTAGGTCTCTGCCAACTACCCTCAGCTGCTCTACAAGCCCGCCATCTTCTTTGCCTTTGGGTCTCCCATTGGGATGTTCCTCACGGTGCGAGGGGTGAAGCGAATCAACCCGGATTACAGCCTGCCCACCTGCAAGGGCTTCTTCAACATCTTCCACCCCGTAGGTATAAGAGCTGCAGCCCTCCGGTGCGAGGCACAGCGCTCAGCCCACGCTCACTGCTCTCCCCACAGTTCGACCCGGTGGCATACAGGATTGAGCCCATGATTGTCCCAGATCTGGAATTTGAGCCCATGCTGCTCCCACACCACAAAGGCAGGAAGAGGATGCACCTCGGTAAGGAGCACGGCCACCCCTCGCCCCAGCCCAAAGCCACGGCCTCGTGCCTGAGAGCAGCCCCTTGCCTTTGCAGAGCTGAAAGAAGGGCTGACACGTATGAGCGTGGATCTGAAGAACAACCTGCTGGGGTCCCTGCGGGTGGCCTGGCAGTCCTTCACCCGCGCCCCGCTGGCAGCTGTGGAAGGAACAAGCAGTGAGGGGGAGGCAGAGACAGAGGCGAGCGCAGAGAAGCAGCCAGGTCAGTGAGCACAGGGCTGGAGGAGCACCAGGCAGCGCTTTGCTGTGTGCTGCTGCTGCTGAGACAAACTGCTGTTCCTTCCTCCAGATCCAAAGCCAGAGGAGGCCCAGGCGCCAGCAAAGGAGGATCCCTCCCTCATTAACGTGGGGAAGCTGAACGGGGGGAATCGCATCGACTACGTGCTGCAGGAAAAGCCCATTGAGAGCTTTAATGAGTATTTATTTGCACTGCAAGGGCATCTCTGCTACTGGTAAGCTCCTGCCTGTCGTCAAGCTTCAGATTCGTGTCTGCTGTAGGCAGAACGCTGCCAGTCTTAACACCAAGGTGAGGAGAAGCATTGCCTGCTCACGCCTGTGTCCCCACCTCCAGGGAGTCAGAGGACACCGTTCTGCTGGTTCTGAAGGAGATCTACCAGACAATAGGTGTTACACTGGACCAGCCTTTGCCAGGAAGCCAATGACCACCCTGTGCTGTTCAGCCACTTCTTGTAAGTCACCTTATGCCTACACTTCCAACCTTCCTCGGAGACCCCAGACGACATAAAGGCCATTTGAGGGAATAATGTTCCTTATTTACAGAGCTGGTTGGGCTTTCCTTTGGCCTTTCAGCACACAGGGCTTCCTTCCTCTTTTATCGTGCACAAAAGCACGTCAAGACGCAAGATTTACTCCAGTGTTCTCCCTTTGCTTTCTTAGATACAATTCAATTGAGTACTCACCAGGAAAGTTCAGATTTCTTCTCTGCCTTCCTCTCTCCTCTGCTGCCGTGCCCCGCATGCTGCTTCCCCAGTACTTGCTGCTGCCTGGAGATAAAGATGGTTTTCCTCCATTTTGGGTAGGAAAAAAACCAATCAACCAAAATCCACTTCTGCAAACACACACACAGCACTTACACTGTGACTCCCTGTGGCAACACGTGCTGTCAGCCCTGAACTTGTCTGCCCAGCTTGTAGGTTATCACAGGCTTTGCAGTACTGATGCAGACAGCTGCTTGGGTGAGGAAATGCGATACAAGGGCCTGAACCCAGCTGTGGGCTTAGCAAGGATACTCTTAGCTTGGGACCTTGAGAAATAAAAGCCTTAAACACACAGCATGGAGAGAGCAATAGCAGCCTTGAGCAAAGGAGATGCTGACTTCTCATGGGAGAAGGATGAGGCACTGCTCTCCTGCTGTAGCACCGGGCTGGAGTGCTGCAGCCTTTGGAAGGTGCAGATAAGGACTGTTGCTCATGGCCACGTGCACAGCACCCCAGGAAAGCTTTACCTCCAGATCCAAACTGGATTGGGGAAAGCAGCTGCTCCAGGCACTGGGCCCTGTAGGGACAGCCCTCCTCTGCTCTGCAGGAGCACACAGCAGTACTGAGTTGAAAGTGGCTACAGGGATCTCATGCCCGTCAGGCTCCAGCCAGTGGTTTTGTTGGCAAGTACAGCAAATGCTGCCAGCGAAGGCAGAGCCCAGATCTGTTGGGTCTGAGCACTGCCTCAGTGACTCCACCGAAGAGATTCAAGCAGTCCAGCAAGCAGCACAGCCCACACCTTGCTGTTTTGTGTTAGCTCTCCTCCAAGGGCAACAGAGAGCCCCAGGTGATCAGTTCCCTGTGACCCAAACCACTGCCAGGCTGCAGCTGGAGTCTCAGAGCGGGCAGGGGGCAAACGTTTCAGTGGCATTAAGGTCACTGCAGCCTTTGGAAAGAGCCACCTCCCTCCTGCTGACTTCTGCCCTGCATGGGGTAACAAGCCTTGTTTCCATAGCATCCATTTGTTTGTCCTCTGTTGTATTTCGTTATTTGCACTATTCAAAAGGTGTTGTTTGCAGCCTCCAACCTCCTCCCAGCCCAAAGGAACTGCAGCTGTTCATTCACTTGACTGCAGAAGCAGACATTCTGCTCCTCCAGAGTCTGAGTTACCGATTGCTAAACGCCTCCTATGGGAGTAAGAAAAGGAACAGTCTTAACATGGGACACTCGTGACCAGCTTTTTAAGTTATGCACTTTGTTAAAAAAAAAAAAAAAGATTAAATACGTTTTAAATGTTATTTAATGTCTTTTCCAGTAAAAGCCAAAACAAATAAACAGATGACTGTGATGCATTCGGGGGAGAGGAGAGGAGTGGGTCGAAGAATTTACGTTTGCATAATTTGAAGGGAAAGAAAAGCAATGCCTGTGAGTTCTTCTGAGGCTGCAGGGTCACGTGGGGCTGATGGGGCCCAAACTGATGACACACCAGTTACTGTTGTTCCCTGAGCTTGAGAGGCACACATCTCTCACTCTGCTGGTCTCACCTTGCAGTTTGCACACACACGTGTGACACAGAACGCTCCCAGGGATGGTGGAGACTCCTGAGAAACCATTAACCTACAGCAGTCCTGCCAGAAAGCTGTGCTTAGATTCCTCCTTACAACTGTGTTAAAGCTGCAAGGGGAAAGAAAGCAAATAAGCACCTGCCTAGGAACCCATGCAGACAAACCAAGGTGCATCGACTTACATGGAACCCAGGCCCAGCCACTGAAGGAAGCTTTTGGTACCACAGCTCATTAAAAGTTAAACTCCTTTATTTGCCTAATTAAGAAGAAAAAAGAGCCAGCACAATAACACAAATAACAATCACGCTAGTTGCATCTTCTGTCTCACCCACTCGATCCACGTTAAAGGCTGCAGCCTTGCATTCATTACTCCAAATTAGTTCATCTCTGACTGATGAGATGCATTTGACCCCGGCACCACAACAGGTCCTGCCCTTCACTTCAACACACGCATCCCATGGGAAGGCATGGGGCAGCTCAGCTGCACTGAAGGGGACCTGACTGTGCTTTGCTGTGGACCCAGGAACACCCACAGCCACGGCGCAGCACATCACATGTCTCCAGTTTTCAGTGTAGGACCTTCTGAAGCTGGGCTGTCCTGTAGTCTCAACGTGCTGAAGCTCAGCTCGCTTCCCAAAGGAAGGGACACCTACAGAATTAATTGAAATGAAGCCACACACCTACTGAGCAGGACAGCTTACCACCTCAGACACATCCTGTGGGCCACAACCAGCCTTCCCCTGCCCTGATACTCACAGTGCAGAAGTGCCAGCAGAATACAGTGACATCACTTAAACGTCCAGGTGAAAGCTGGAAGCTGCAGGCTTTTCTTGGTGAGCTGGCAGTTGTTTAGATATAGACAGAAATGGTTTGTGGCACATGGAGTCCATAAGAGGAGGGTAGTACTGCCTATAGCAGAGGTACGCCAGCACAAATCCCATTGCCGAGCCAACCAGCACATCTGCAGGCAAGGCCAGGATAAGTTACCTTCCTCCACCTTTGCAGCCCCAGAGCAGCAGGCTGCTCCAGCCCTGGGCACCACAGCTGACCCACCTTGCCAGTGGTGCTTGTAGTCACAGGTACGGGACACGGCGATGAGCATGGCGATGAACAGGGGGAGGAGGAAAGCACAGAGCTGCAGCGCTGAGCCTCGCCGGCCAGGAGCAAAGCAGTGCAGCTTCCCAGCCAGGTAGAAGGCACAGAAGGAGAGGCCAGCAAAGGCGACTGGAAGGAAGGTCACAGAATGGTGTGTGTGACAGCAAAGCCACGCTGCCCTCTCCCCAGGCTCCTGCTCTCCACAAATTGCTGTCCAGGCACCCAGAACTTACATGAGGAATGCCCACTGGGAAAGCTTTTACGACCCTCAGCCACCAGGCCGGGGTCACCTGTGCAGGTCAGCTCTGTGTTCACTCGTCCGTCTGGGAAGCAGCGATAGAAGAAGTCTGGCCGTGGCCTGGGGCAGAGGAGCAGAGCAGAGCAGGTTGCTCCACACTCTGTGGGATGCTTGGAGCCTCAATGTCCCCTCACCAGCCCGGGACACACCACTGCACAGTCTTCCAGGATGACATTTTGTCACCCCAACCACAGCATGCAGTCACCCCGACCCCGGTGCAGGCCTCCATGTGCTCATCTAAATGATGCCTGGAGAACGGCACTGCTCTAATACTACATCTTTACAACTACAAAAAAACCTTTTGTTTCAGGCTGAGCACATCCAAATTCCAGCATCCAGCCCTTCCTCCTCCTCTCCTACCTCCAACACTGCACATCCCATCCCACACAGCCCGGAGCTCCTCACCTGCCCACCACGAGCTTCAGGCTGTTGGTGAAGACCCCGTTGAGGACAAGAGCAAGGCTGGCAGCTGGGAGAGAGCAGAGAGCTCCTATCAGCCCCACAAAGGCTGCCTGAGCTGCTGGTGCTCAGCTTGCAACGTTCTATGCCTCACTGCTCACCAGGCACATCCCGTGCAGCACTGAGGTCCACGTGGACAAGTTGGAGCCAAATCGCTCAGCTTTAACACCCCAGCATAATGTCTGTGTCCTGGCAAGGACTCACCTGCGAGACCCCCCCCCCCTCGTGCTCCCCCAACCCCTCCAGGCAGCCCTGCGGGGCCAGGAGCTGCTCACCCAGGCACGCCTCCCGTGTGTCCTCGTGGTCAGCTCCCAGGAACAGGCGGGCAAGGATGATGAGCAGCACCGGAGACAGGAACGCGATGAACTGCAGCGAAGGGAAAAAACGGCCCAGCGTTAGCAGAGCAACCAAAACACGACGGTGAGAAGTTCTCAGGGGTATTTGTAAGCTCAGTTCAAACCCAAAGGGCGATTCCGGATGGTAAGGGCTAAAAGGACTACAAAAAATGGCTGTGCTGCTGCAAGAGCACTGCGCTCGCAGTGACTTCAGACGAGAACTGCAGGCATCTGCACGGCTTTGTGCCCGTAGCTTTGCTTTCAAGCAACAGCTGACAAACGAAGGCAAACCGAGCGCAGGAACCGCGGCACTTACGAACATCGGCGCCGTGGGAACGCGATCCGCTTCCACGTAGGGGTTGCGATAGAGCCACATCTCCTCGGGCTGCACCACGCGTTGGAAGGGCGGCAGCAGCTCCATCACCCTGCGGAGGGAAATGAGGGCTGCGGGCATCTGCGGGGCAGGGAGCGGAGCGGAACCCCGCAGCCCGGCACTCACCCGCAAACCGCCGCCAGCATCGCCCGCACCGCCGCCTCCGCCGCCAGCCCAGCCGCGCCCGCCCGCCGCATGGCGCCCACCGCGTGGCCCCGCCCCGGGTCAGAGTGCGGCGCCGCGAGTTCGAATCCCGGCCCCGGAAGAAAGGGGGGAGGCGGCCGGTGTTGGAACATTCAGAACGATTTATTGAAGTCAACCTCAAGCAAAAAGTTCAAATCGGTGGAATGTCATTTAAAAACCTTTCCAAATGAATCCTCACGGAAGCAAAAACACATCTGAATTCCAAAGTATTTGTAAAATAAAAAAGGCAACATCTCAGTAAATATAATGTACAAAAATTATATGTTCTACCATCACACACATTCAGTAAGAAGCTAAAATATTACAGGCAAGGCTAAGTACGCTAGAACCGGCTGACAATAAGCTACCTATGTACAGGGTAACCGAGCTTTACAGGCTTCACACTATGCAAGAGAACGTAGGCCGAACGACACAACCCCCAAAAATGGTATTTCTCAAAGCCTATGTGGCAAAACACCAACCATGGTACAGTAACACCCCAGAACAGCACCCGGAGCTCCGGGTCGGCTTCCCAGCTCTAGAGTGACTTCAGTGACTGCTGATGCATTGCAGGTAAAGACTGAAAGTGATTTTGTTAAAAGAACATCTCACAGAACCTACAAAGTTTGGTACGGAGGAACAAAGCGGACAGAAATGGCGACGCTGTGAAGGTCGGCGGTGAGGCCCAGGATCCCCGCAGGCAGTCGTTGCCATTGCCTTCACTTTGTGAGAAAGGAGAAGTGGCACCAAATGGACACAGAGCAGCGATGCAGGGCTCCCATCCTCACCCTGGAGAAGGGACCAAGAGCTCACAGCCGGCACGGAGTCACGCACGCTGTGCGCCCTTTTGTTTTCACATTAATTACCTGTGCAAAGGAGATTAATTCCCATCCATTCCCATTAATCTCCTGTGCAAAGCTCAGATCTCCACTCAGTTCCCCCCTCCTCCAGCAGTGAGAGCCCCTCGCTGGAGCACAAGGACCCGAATCCGCCGCTCAGCAACGCGACACGACAGGAAACAGCTTCTCTTTTCCTCCTTAGAACAAGGTTGTGAATACATCCAAAGGATAGGAGTGTATCAGAAGTGCAAACCATTTTGCTACACGAAGGTAAGGCGGGGGGGGAAAGGGGGGAAAAGCTGAGACCAAACACAAAATGGCCATCGCCGCTCAGGCGGCACCGCAGAGTCCAGTGCCACAGGAGCAGAGCTGACAGCAGGGAGGTGAACACATCTTCGATGCCGTATACAAAACAAGGGATGTATAAATAAAATAATAACAATAATTAAAAAAAAAATAATAAGCTGTATAAGGAATGCAGAGCTTCAAGTACATTAAACCCTGAATTCAATGAGGCAGAGGTTTCATGTTAAAGTGACCACTTCGTACCAGCGCTGGACGTCCCCTCCCGCCCTCCTCCCCACCCACCCCATAGTTCTGTAAAGTCTCCATATATACAGATTCTATGCTCATTGTTAATTACATCTAGTAATTGTGTCTCTCGTTCTATCCTGAAACAAAGATAACAAGGTTTTAGAAGAAAGGCCAAAATCCTACATTCCAGCCTCATTGTAACTCTCTCAGACCGTGGTGGTGACCAGAGAAGGGAATTTGCCCATACAAATCATCATCATGCCATCCTTCCTGAGCTGCAAATAATGCCTTTGATCCTTACAGTCCATTGACAGGACAAGTCTGATGAATTCTGAAAGCTACAATAATTAATGCTTGTGTCACGTGTGCAGGAAACTGCAGTAATTGACCATTGCACCATTGGGTTGTGATCTGCAGAACGTCCACGCGTGCGTACTGCAGAGCACAGTAAACACCAAAGTCCTGCTAACTTAGCAGAGCAGCTCAGATGCTGCACACTACAGAGAGATCCGGGGTCGGCTGTGCACCTGAAGCACAGCAACTCCCTCCAAAAAAATCAGACAAAAGTAAGGGAGAAGCAGGATTGCACGTCCCAGCTAAGGGACAGGAGGTTGCACAGCTCAATGGAGCAGCTCTGGGGATTTCCTCCAGGCCTTTGCTGCCCAGCACTGCTCCCCTCACTCCTGAAACCACACAGATGGGATCCGGCAGCTGATGCCACTTAATCACAACACAGATCTGTCACATCTTTTTCCCCCCCCTCGTACAAAGCAATTGCACTCTCTTTCTCCTCCATTGACCAAGATGTGGTTGAAAAGGTGTGTTTTAAAGCTCTGCATTTGGCATACAGAACAAACTCAGCACAACTATCAAGCTATTCTGAATCCTTCCTCATATCACCCTCTAAGATTTCAGATTCACCTTCTCTTCAGTAGTGTGACATCCAGTTCTGATTTTTGTTCGTGAGCTGCACAAGCTTACAAACCAATTTCCTGCTTTCCCTTTTGAGTCCAAGCCCAGCTGCTGGCTATCATTATTACTTTTTTTTTTTGGTGGAAAAAAAGGAGCACCTGTAACAAGTTTGAGAAAAAAAGTTAACCCGGAATCAAGTGGGATGGCACAGGAGTAGCAGCAGGCCCCAATTCACAGCATTTCAGAAGTTTTTAAAGCCTTTTGCAAACCTTCACATTCCGTGCTATGCAGCATAGCAGAACATCACAGCAACAGGTTGCACGTGGCAGTTGATGCTCACCAGCTGTGTTCTGCTCACTGCCATCTCCAACAGCTGCGAAGGCTTCTGGCATCAGCACACCTCAGCACGGACACAGAGTGAGGTGCACTCACACTACAGCACATCTGTAATCATTGGAATGCTCTGACTTCCCAAGAGAAAAATCATTTCAACACTACCAAGACTAATAAATAAAAATAAAGTAAACACATCAAAGCCTTACAGACACCGCAGCAACGGCTGCGTTTGGAATCGCTGAGGAGGTGAAACACCCCCAGTAAGAGCTTAAAAAGAGACATTTATCACACAAAACGCTCAGAAAAATAAAATCCTTTCCGTAAATATTTTCGTAAAAAATATTTCAAGCAAGATTAGTGTTTCAGACATTCACTGCAGCATGGACCACGAGAAGTGCTTTATATTCCCACCAGCTGAGCCCAGCAGCGCTGGCGCTGCTGCGCCCCCAAACACCCCCAGGCTGCAGGAAGGCTCAGAGGTGCACTGACAGATCAGCTGCTGGGCACCACGGCTGCTTTGAGGGACTGTAGTGTATTTTGTAACTTCACAAGTGCACAAACTTTTGGTTTTTTTTCCCTTCCCATCCATAAGTTTGAGAATGAGAAGGACAGCAGCCAGAAGCAGAAGCTCCACAATCCCGTGTGTCTTCCTTGCCTGTTTTCTCAGGCTGAGAAAGTCACCACGTTCCTGCAGGTTTATGTCAGCAGTTTCCCAGAGACAGGGTTCTTGAGAATTAATTCAAAGGCTCGATTTAGCCAGATGCCAGCAACGCTTCAAATTAATTCCTTTTGTTCAGGGCTACCTCCAAGAGCCATTAGCAAAAAGCCAGCACCAGCACACAGCCAAAGCACGCTGACTGCAGCGCTTGGAAAGGTTGCAGGCTAGGGGAGGAGATTCAAAGACCAACTTCAGCCTGGAGAAACTAATCCCTCTAAGCTCCTTGCTTGAGGATTGCAGGATAGGATAGGTTTGCAGAAGAAAATCTGGAGCAGGAGCCTACCTAAGCCAACTCAGGAACCTCACTGAAGCAGCCTGCTCCCCTGCAGATTAACAAAGGAAATACAGAACACAAACACCCCACCAGGCTGAGGGTGGCTGCTGTGAATCCCATTACCTGGCTCAGCAAACACTGTTATGGATGAAGTGCTGTAGGGGAATAACTTGCTTTTCTTAGCTCTGTTAACAGTGAACGTTATAAAGTCAGAAAATCTTTTTCACTAACAACATGAACGTTCAAATCAAAAGAAACATGAAGATGGGTTGGATTCCTTAAGCACTCGAATTTCCTCTGGAGCCAATGGGAGTCTGAGAAGAAAGCAATAAAGATCCACAATAACATAACGGCCATCAAACAAGCGCAGAACTTGGCAGGTGACAAATCCACACACAGAACAATCCTCCACCAAAAGCAGTCAGAGGCAGTTGCTCCCAGGGCAGCAGGCTGACCTCAGTTCTGTGTGCTGCAGTGCGACCAAGGCCAGGAGCTCTCCTAACTAGGAAGGTTCTCCTAGTAAAGAAATGACCAGTGTGCAATTCAGCTCCTTCTGAATTTCCACCTGTCTGCAAACACCACCAATTACAGCTCTCCAAGCAACTACTTCCTTCCTTCTTAAGACATCAGCACTTGTGTTACAAGCACTCCCAAAGAGCCATACACATTATTTCTCACAGGAAAAGCTTTACAGCAATATTCACAAGTTAAACATGATATACAACCTGCCTTTAAAAATTAAGTACGGAATGGAGGCATTTCAGTCACCTGGTCTGAAACCCACTTTTGCCTTCACGATACCTGAATGTTACACAGCGCAGGGAGGGTTTTGTTCTTGTTGTAAACTAGACGTAGGAGTTACGTTGGCTTCGCTGTTTTTCTGTTTGTTTTTAAAGACACGCTGACTGATCCAAACCAGATCTTCAACATCCTTGAAAAATTAAATAAATAAATATGTTGCTATGCTTTGTTTTCTACACTTGAACATCTTTAAACAGAGTATTCTTTTCAACTGTCAGAAGGTCTACTGTTTGCTTTAGAAGGCCGAGACGTTTGTTTCCCAACAGAAAGAGCTGCTTGTAGCACATTCAAGGGTAAAAGACCAAACAATAAAAAACAAACACCACTGCCTGCTTCTGCTTGGTAAGTGGTCCCACTCCCAGTTCACACAAGACAGCGCCGATGATACAGACTGAATGTGGCATAGCAGTCTCTTCAAGTTCATCTATTTGCCCCTCCTCTTCTTCCCTCCCTTGTTGTTTTTTTGCTTGTTTTTAAACAAAAAATCACTCCTTTGCTTCTTCTACGGGATTCTGAGGTTCCAATTTGCATTTTATCTTGTTCCAGTACTCGGGTGCCACGGGAGATTTGGGGTCATGTGTGGAGCAGCAGAGACGGCCGTCCAGTGCCGATGCCACCAGGGCTCCTTTCTCGTGATCCTTACAGAACGAATGAGGGCAGAACTCACAGAACGAAACTGCAGGATTGCTACAGATGTCACACTGATGCCACGGACATTCCCACTTTCCTGAAGATAGAAGGGGAAGGGAGAAGAGAGAGACAGGAGGCTGAGCTTCAATGAGAAACAAAGGAAAACACTGAAAACTCGAATTCGAGTTGCTCTTGGTGTTAAGACACTCTTTACTTCTTCCTCCAGCAAACAAGCTAATTTTGAGGAAAGCTTCTATGCTTGCAACAGAAAGGCACATAACACATGATCTACCACATGATTTGTGGGTGGTGACCTTGGCGTATCAAGACGATGGCTGTACTTCAACTGAAAGAAAAGGAAAATTGATCCAAGGAACAGAAGCATCAAGTTAAATAACATTACAATGCTTCCCCTCTCCACGGGTTCCTGTTACAGGGCACATTGCCACCTGATAGACTTCTAAAGCCAGACAGCACTGCAAAACCAGCTATGCTTCATGTAAACAGCTGCCACAATTCAGCTCCAACACTGCCTCACTGCAGGAAGGAAAAGCAAGTGACAGGAATGCTCTTACCAAAGGGTGGTTGAGTCAGGTTAAGGCATAGGAGGTGGTAAGCTTTGGGACAGTCCTTTTTATCACACATGACAAGTTCTCCCCCATCTCCACACTGGAAACAGTTGTCTTCGTGCATCTGCTTCTGTTCTGTTTTTATTTTCCTCTTCTTCTGCTTTAATTTTGCATTCTTCACCTTCTCTTCGTTTGCTGTTGCAAATGCTGTCTAGCAATTACCAAGATAACAGCAGTCACTTTATAAATCCCTCCCATGAAAATAAATTTAATCACCTTTGGCTGTTATTTGCATTAATTAGGCTCACATTAAATTTGCTCAAAAAAGCTTTTAAGGTACAGAAGTCAGGAATGCACATCCACATGAATCTGAAGTAACCAATTAGTAAATTAACTTTAACTTGGAAATGGCTGTACTACAGTTCATAACTAAAATCTCTAGAGACTTTCAAGGGAGGAAAACAGATCCAATTTTCACCCACATACCTTTGGACGCACTCCTAGGAAACCACTGCAGTTTTCTGCTCCACAGTGACACTCAGTCCTGCCATTCCCAAGGCAATCCAAGTTATAATTAAATGTTAACTCCATTCCTAAAATGTAAAGAACAATTCGTCCACACTGACCCTGAGGAAAGCAGGTTTGCATCAGTAACATTTCTACCTCAACAAGTGACCAAGTTCTGATAGATGTCACTTGGATTAAGCAGTTTCCACAAAGAAAACTGGGTAAAAGTCAGAAGCTTTGGATTTTAACAGCAGTGCATACACACAACAGAGCCATCCTCTTACCTGCAGGAATGTCACAAAGAGCAAACAGCCCAACTCTGATGTCACCATTCACTGTCCATTTCTGTGTTTCACAGTTTGGATTACAACTGTGGTTCATAAAGCGAGAATAATTCCCCTTTGGACCAGCATCTATGATCCGATCCTTGAAATGAAAAGGCAGAGAAACAGCACAGATTATGTTTGGTACTCACAACAGAAAAAGTCTCCTGCTGACAAGTAACTACATGCTAAGAAGGGGAAAAAAGATTCTAGTTCAAATTAGTGAGAACAGGGAAGTTTTCCAGAGTCACTCCTACAGAAAAGGGCTTTATGAAATTGAAATAGTTCCAACCATAAACAGCTTATACTGAATGAAATCATAGTATTCACCTTCGTAACTGTTAACATATAAAAATTGGTTACACTGTTTTCATGGGCACGTTTGATTCGCAGTCTGCACTCTTCTTCATCAATGAGCTCCCCAACGTATTCATTCACAAATTCACCCTGAAAAGTCAAAAAAAAACAAAAATAAAACCACATGTAAGGTGACTTATTGTGCCAAAACTCTACGACTTCATCATCTTCATTGGAAGAAATCAGCATTCAGACTACTTCTCCAGGCCGAGGTCTCCCTTTTGCCCAGCAGTCACTGAGAAAACACACGGGTTTTTGCCTCCTAGAAACAAGAGACAGCGACCTCATCCCCTCCACCCATGGAACCTGAATTCAGTCACCTGAAACTCGCTTTTGTTCTGGGAGTAAATATCAAGTTTATGACAACTCTGTCAGAACAGCTGAACGGGTTTCACCATCAGTGCTGCACCCACACAAGTGCCTTTGAAACACTTAAAATATTTCACCTGGGAGCAGTGAAACTTTTGTCTGCGTTTCCTCAAGTTGCAGCGCTCTCACCTACTGTAAAAAAGGAGTTTTGTTCACTTTCATTCTACCTTTTTAATGTTCCTTTTTGTCCTGAGACCCCATCCACGTCGATCGGTTTTGATGATTTCAGCATCAGGGTAGAGCCTCTTGGTGAAGCACTGGTTCTGACACCTCTCTCCTGCTGGGCACACCTGGGGGTGGCACTCATACTGCAGCATCCTGTTCAGACACTCGGACTCCAGACCACAGGGGTTCTCATCAGATGGCTTGCAGTTACAGCGGGGGATTTCTGACAGATCAGCCACCTGAATCTGAACCTTCCCTATTACCTTGTTGGACTGCAGAACAGAGGGACAAAAAGAAGAAAAGCTGAGGACAATGAGCACAAAGATTCTGAACAACTTTTTCAAGTACAGGATTTCTTTACGCTAGAATTAAGAACTTCATATGAAAAATATGGAGCCTGACATGTCCCAAACTGCTGGCAAGAATCAGATTCCACAGCTCTTAAGTAGGCTGAGTGGGCAAAAAGGTTGTAACAGCCAGCATGAAACTAAGAGGGATGAGAGCAGCTTGCAAGCAGCAAAGCTCTGCCTTAGGTCGAGCTGATCTTCAACTGTTAACTTGGACTGATACTCTGCTAAAAGAATGGTTTTTGGTACCATGAGAGAACAAAAGACTCTTGAAAAGAACATCAAAATGATTCTTGTGCATCTCCTTAAGCTGAGATTGTTGCAAACATGCAATTAGCTTACTCATAAACAGAAAAAAGCAGCCAACTCACTTTAATGTGTTTATATGGTGGAGGTTTCCTTGAATTTCTTTCAATTTCTAATGCTTCTTTGCTTTCTCTTTGTGCTTTCAGCTCCTGGAAACGCTTTGCTGCTTCTTCAAGTGCTGTTCAAGGGAAGGAGTTCAAAATAGGAAGCAATTAACACCAGCTGCTGTTAATCAAACATATACTTTCTCTTTAAGCTAAGAACAGAAATGCATACACAAAAATCCAGAAAGTTAAAGATGAGTTATTGCAGTACATCATGGATCTAGCTTTATCAGATACTTTTCAGCAGAAACTGAGATATTGAACAATGATCCCATGCAGCTGAGCCCAAACACCACCTTCACATTGTCCAGACTGTGAAAGAAGTGAACCTGCCCACAACAATACACAATGAGCAGGCAGTTACAATACTTTTTATCTGCAGTTAAGGGATCTACAATGTTTGCAGCTTTATGTGTGAACACAGAACACCAGTCACATAATACTCCCATGCAGGTTAAGTGGTGATGGAGACACAAACACGTGGAATTTTTGTCATAAACCACTATAAACTTTGTTTGATTTTACCTTTCTTGAAGGTCTTGTTAATACTAGTTTGCCCCTCAGCAAAGCTTTTATCTCCTTCAACATAAGGGAAAACTCTGCCCTGGTGTACCCAATAGTAGTCATGTGAACCAAAGAAAAATACTGGGAAGTCCCCGATATCATGTTTGAGGCCCTGTATGTTGAGAGGCACAGACCTGGGATTGCAGATCTCTGCTGGCCACCACCTGGAAGCACAAAGAAAAGATGCATGTAAGTTCTGGCAACAGCAGCCTAAGCCTCCAAGCTTGCTTCGCTCTTACATCAAAAAATAAAAGCAGCCACTTCTTTCCCTTCAATTAAATTAACTCCTCCCTTACAGAACCAAGGCTACTTTTGCCACACAAAACAGCAGAAGCCCTTTGCTATTAAAGTTCTTGCTCTAAATTTTGGAAAAGCCTTGTGAGAAGATGACGTAAGAATGGATTTTTAAGACCACCTACAAATGCTTTTTGTTCTTGCAGGTGACAAAGAACAAACACAAGCTAAGACATCAGGGCTCTGAAGGCAGTCCCTGGTTTTCTATATTGCCATTGCATTTTACAGAACCAATGCCAGTAAAATTCAGTATCCTTCAGTGCCTGGAAAAGCAGGAGAACTCAATTTGAAGAGAAACACTGATGCCTGAAATGAAATAAATCGATCATTATATTTCAAGTTCTTGCTTTCCAAGACTCAGCTACTTTGAGTCACCCTCCTGTGATCGTACAGGACATTCAAACAAAACAACAAGAGAAGAACAAAATGGTCAACATGCCTGTAATTTCCAAGCTTGACCCAAACAATCTGCTTGTAACGTAGCTTCTTGCCAGCTTTACAGTCATTGCAATTCCAACATCCTTCAGGCATGTCTATGTTGAGACACTCAGGGTGAAAGGAAGCTGGGCAGGATTCACAGCACAACAGTTTTCCACCTTTAAACAAAGAAACCCTGTCTGGTTTATAGAAGTAAGGATTTGCCTCCTCTTGTGCACAGCAATTGATATCAATTTTTAGTCATATATTCTCAACCTTCGCTTGCCTCACAGCGAAAATATGCCAAAAGGAAGGGATCAAGTCAAATTTACAATGCTGGATTAAAATAAAAGCTGCAGTGCATTTCTGCACTTCTGCAATGTGCAAATTGTGGCTCTTAATTGCATCAGCCATCTACTACAAAGCAAATGCTTTTTTCAAGGTGAGCAAAGTTGGCAATAGAAGCAACTCGAAGGAAGCACTAGAGATGGAAGCAGTGCCATCAACTTCAATGCCTTTGGTGATGGTCAAAACTTGAACGGTGACAAAAAACCCAATTCTAAGAAATACTTTTTCAATCAACATTGTTATGACTGAATCCCTTGGCAATCAGTTAGTGTGCAGTACAAAAACCCACTCCCACAGCCTATAGGTCGATCAATGCTTTTCTGTAGTAATGGCATCATAGAAAGAGCTCTCATTACCAATCTGTTTGTATCAGAAAAAGGAAAAATAAAGTGTTTTGAGGAACGTGAACTCAATTACATAATGCAGTGGCACCACAGATGATGTCCTGATCCCAAAGGTTCCTTCTGTGTGCAAAGGAGCTCTCAGTGCAGCGTGGCTGACCTGCACAAGTTTCCATTTCTTTGGACAAATGTTTAGGCAGATGCATTACACATGGAGAGCCACAGCACATCTCCAAGCCATCCTCAGCAACCAGAGCAGCTCACACAATGGGTCTCAGTAAAACACACTTATTGTAGTATTTTATATAAATATATATACAGACGTATTACACATGTGTATATATATGCATTTAAGGAGCAGGAAGAAAATCAAATGTTTGTGCCCCAGGGACCAAAAATCTGGGAGATACTTAAGATCTTTTGAAGGAATTTTCTGTCACAGTATGGAAAAAGAAGCACCAGAAGACGTACCAGAAAATCTTGTCCACCTATAGACTTTCCAAATTGTCATTACATTGATTGATTGTTGAATGTTGCAATAAGCATTCCTTAAACAAATGAATCACACGACCAATACTGTATTTCCTCTGCTACAGCCAGCAAATTCCAACCATGTGGGTCTTCCAGACTTTCCCCAAAGTCAAACTTCAACTTCTCAAGTAATTTTTGCAAATATGATCTCAGAGGAAATACAGCCCCAGTGTAAATCACCACAGCATCATCCAACACGGTAAAATGCCAGGAGATGCAAACAAATCAAGCAAAATCAAACAAATCTTTCAATGCTAAGCAAGAAAAAAAATTGCTCTCAGGATGCATTAGTAAGGTATTGCTCAAGCTAAGCAGAGGGCTCAAAATAATTTTTGTTTTCAGGACTTACAGAAACTACTGAAAGCCATCAGTCTAGCAACACTGATAATAACCTAACTTTAGAATGGTTAATTGGGCACCATTTCTGTGGGGAATAAAATATAACATCTGAGTATTTCATAGAGACAACGTGCATCTCCCCATACGGTGTCCTGAGACACTCCAGCACTGCACCCACGCCAGCATGAAATGAGCTCTCTCTCCTGGCAATAAACCCTGCTGTTTTCTCCACAGGACAAAACCCCTCTGCTGGAGGTGCAGCCCCTCCTGCCACTCCTGCCCAGCACAGCAGCAGTGCCAGGAGCAGCAGCAGGAGAGGAACAGCCCGAGGACTGCAACACACACACACACAGCACGACCTCACCACCTTCCCTCTGCATCTCCTCTGGAATGGCAACAGCACCCAGCAATGTTCCACCTGAAAAATCCTCCATTCCCTGGGGCTTGGCTTAGCCTACCTACAAGATCTGACAGAGATTTCCCCTCTTCTTCTGTACATAAAACCAATTTAAGAAGCTGTTGTTCTGTACACCATCGAGGTAAGCACTGAACTGCAATGGTACCAAGCTCTGTTTGCCTCTTCTTCCTACAGCTGTGTGAACAGCTTCCTGACAGTGGAGTAATCTAGGCCAGATACAAAATGATTTAGCCTCTTCCAAAGAGAATTTAGTGACAGCAATTATTTTAAGCCCTTTAATAATAATAATAAAAAAAATTGCCAACGACATGAACACGCTCACAATAATCAATGAGTGAAATTTACTGAAAAGCAGTAAGTGATGCTTGACAAGCAGACATATCTTGTTTGATTTAAAGATAGAGAAATAATAGAAAAAGCAAAAGTAAATTAAAAGAGAAAGAAACTATTTTGGTTACCTTTCTCACATTTCTTTTTGGAAGCTGACGAAGGAGGAGGAATCATAGGTAATTTCATCAACTCAGCACGATTTGATTCATTCAGTAGGTAGTGGGATTTATAGGCATATGAACTGAACAGGGGGTCTGAATGATCCTGCACTACCAGCCCTATACGAAACAAACAGAAAGAGATGAGTTGCAATGAAACTACCCATGATTCCGTAAAGGAGAAAATAAAATAAAGCAAATGAAACACCTATAATGCATACACGAGTGAATGAAAAAAAGATAAAATGATAGATAAAGATAAAAGAAAAGTCTGGCAAAGTTTCTTCACTAAGAAGGAGGTCACAGGTCAGAGAGACTAAATTCAGTTGTAACTGGAAAAACCTACAGCGGATAAGCTTCTCCTAACTGGAACTTCAATAGTGCTTTTACACTTGTGCATCTACAGGAAAGCACAAGAGAAGTGTCAACCCAGTGTCATCCTGTGCAAACCACCCTCCCAAATGAGCAAAAGCAAGCTCATGTGAAGAGCTGGGTGATGGCAGCCATTGCTTCTAAGGCAATACCAGCAGCTGGGGCTACAGGCTGGAAGAACACAAATCCTCCACGCGGCCCCACAGGTGCAGAATTCACCATCCCACATCCTAGAAAGCCAAGATCTTACCTATGGAAGCATTCTGCCTTTATAATTGCTTTAGAATTTAAAAAGTAACAGGAGGGCTCAGTGATTCTGCAAGCAGCAGAGGAGAAAGAATGGATGGAAATTCTGCCCTACACCCATTGCGTTTAGGTAAGAATTGCACTAACAGCCTCCCCACAGCTGCCAAATCAGACCTTTTGGAGTAGCACCCTGTTCTGCTAAATGCCTTTGTTTCAAATGACGCCTGCATGCTTTTTTTCCTGTCTTTCTCCACCAAGAAGAGTCTCCCCACACTGCTTCAAGTCAGGCAGCGCAGGTCAGAAAGCCAGAGGTACAGGTGAGAAGCATTCAACCAATAATTCTGGGAAGTGTCACAGCTGAGATCCAAAGAAGCATGGAGGATGAGGCACCAAGATAGCCACCAACTCACTGCCCTGAGAGAGGGGCACAGAGCCGAGTGCTGAAAAGAAGTGCTGGAATTGTGGGACCTAAAAAACTGGTGAGAGCAGAATGGTGTCTGCCTGCCTGCAAAGCACGTCCTCAGAAGAGCTCCTGAAGCAAGGATGATCTACACACATGCAGTTACATGAACTATGAAGTGCTTCAATGAAGGATATTTCAGGAAGGTGAATAAGAAGACTTAAATGTTTTCCTTAAGTACCTCATGATGAATAAGTTTTAATGATGCTTTTTCCCACCTCACTCCTGTTTTGCATCTAAACACAGAGTATCTCCTTCTAACATCAGCTAAAACTAATTAAGTAACTCTTCTCACACAGATGCCTAAAGTATTTCTAGCTTGTTCAGCTCCCCATTTCCTTCTGAGCAGTTCTTCTCTCACAGATGCTGTCCTTACCTTGTGTCCCTATGCTGACCACATATGACTGACAGAACTCAATCCAACCCATGCAGTGAGTTTGCTCTTGTAGCCTCACACAGTCTTTCACCAGAGAAAACAATGCTTTTGCATTACTTGAGTAACTGGTGTGCTGTAACTTATCAGCTTGCTGTTTGGAACGACTCAAGTGACTGGAGAACCAGAAAAGTAAAAAAAAAAAAATGGAAAGAAAAAAAAGGAAAAAAAAAAAATGGACACATGGAAAATCCTAGCATGGAACTTGTTTACATGGTATTGGAAATGCTTTCTTTTCAAAGTTCTCAAACATGATGGTAGTTTGAATTTAAAATGATTCTTTTTCTAGCTCATGAGTAAATCCTCACTCCCAGCCTTAAACACTTGTTTCTATTTGTGAGTGGTGAAAGAATCCCCCTTCTGCTTAACAGACAGTGAATAATAAGTGCTCATTCTCAGCTTGCAATGACTAGAACTGGGGGCTCAGCATCTATTCTTTTCTACTGGCAACAGAAGCATGCCTTCTGAGTGAGGGACCAAAATAGCATGTAGAAGCTTAACATGAACTGCTGACTACACCAAAAATCACAGAAAGCATTAAAACCCCTCACAGCCCTAAGAGATGTTTCTTTCACATCACTTTTATCATTAAACTGCACAAGTGACAACAGAAGAACTATAAAACAGAGGGAGGAAAAAACAGTTGTGCTCACCTCTTGCACAAACGAAACAAAAGCCTACATTTACAGCTGATGAGGAGTGATTCCTTTTGGAATGGTTACTACAGATGAGAATGTGGGATGACACAAATAAGCTTCCTGCAGCAATACAGCCATCTCCTGAGTGATAGGCAATGGGACATCTGAAACATCTCACCATGCGACCTGTTTAATATAAATGCAAAAACAAAATGCACCATGTCACCCTGGAGTCAAGATTTGGTACAAGGCAGCACAGACAGAGGCAGGACTGACTTTTATTCCACGCGCTGTGCTAGATTACAGACATTTACATCTTGGAAAAAGTTTCACAAAAGTTAGCTTTCACTTCAGAACCCTGTTTTGGGAAAAAAAAAAAACACATGGTTTAAACATTCTAGAGTTCGCTTTTTTGCTTAATTATTTTAGTTCATTTCTAAAAGGATTCTTTCTTCCCCTGAATTGTTCTAGCAGTCACTCCCAACTGTCTTTAGGAAAAAGCAAACTCCTCAGCCTCGTGCACTAACCCTCAGCTTACACTAAACTCAGCAACAGAAGCCAACGTCAGCATTGCAGATTCAGGCGTGCTCACACCAGTGGTCTCAGGCTGCTAGCTGCTTTCCCACCCACAACAGATTCAAAGACCTCGTTAAGAACGAAGCCCTTCTTCCTCGCTGCGTTACTGGCAGTCAGACTCATCGTGGTGATGCATCTGACGTTTCTCCTGCCGTTCAGAGCCAGCTCTGCTCTCACCTTTGCTTGCTTTATGGATGTCCTTCTCCACGGAGCAGGCAGAGCAGCAATGCTGAGGGCACCGAAATCCTCTTGACTCAAACAGAGCTGTGGCAAACTTGCGCACGCAGGCCTCGTGGTAGAATTTACCGCAGGTGCTGACAGAGCAGCGCTTCACATCTTTGCCAGGGAGCTTGCAAGAAAAGCACGTGTGTTCTCCTTGTAAAAGAAGGAATAAAGAAGCCCAAATGTAACTGTCAGTACTTCAGGATACAGATGCTGTTAAGAAAAAAAACATCTGAATGAACAGAACTTCGCTGCTCTGATCAGCACAGATGTTTGTTTGGTGCTACAATTCACAGGCACTACTGAACTGCTATTAACCTGAACTGCTTTATGCTGAGAGGACTCTCAACAGTTTGTCACCCTTTCTCTTCCCAGTTACTTGCCAAGTGAAAATCTGGCATCAGAGGTTAAGAAAAGTAACAGAACAGACCAAACGGAAAGATTTTAAGGTTCTGTAAGTAAACCTTATTTGTTCTGATCATACTGTGGCAGAGCAGGAAATCCTTGCCCATTTCTCAGCCCTGGGAACACACTCACCATTTTTACACTCCGTGCAGAAGAACTTCTCCTCCGGCATCGCCTTCAGGCCCAGACACTCCATGTGAAAGGTGCTGCAGCACTCGCCCTCACAGGACACCAGTGACTCACCAGAGCTCTCACAGATCTTAAACAGAGTTACAATAAGTCAGGAGAACTGCCTTACATCCCACAGCAGACTTGATGAAATCTATGGGCTGAAAACAATCCAAGAATTTACAGCAGCTTTCTCCTGTAACAGTGTGATTCTCTCCAAAATAGAAGTAGTTCTATGCAGGATCCACCTGGAGTCCTAGTTCTCTCATACTTAAATAGAAAGACAAGCTTCTCCTTAATATTCCTAATCCACAAGCTCTCCTAGGAACTATTTTCAGATCACAGAGTCCTAAAAGCCTTAATATTCTAAGATAACAAATCATACTGGTTTGCTTTTAAGTCTATCACCTCAAACTAACAGGAACAGCCAAAACATCTTTACAGTTCTTTTTACAGTGCCATCGTTTACCTGACAAACAGTGTCTTTTTTATTTGTTCCAGTTCCTCTCCTGGATAAGCTGGAGTCCACTGACTGCACATCAGAAGCATCAGCATCAACAGCAGCTGATGGGCTGTCGGAACGCTTTCCAAAACTACCCTACAAAGAGGGAAAGTCCAAGGCACTCAAACAAGACACTTTAAAAAGACAAATCACACTGTGCAAAACAATATTTACATCACCACTGATTACAAGATTATTCAGCACATCAAGAGGTTCAAACATCTTTGAAAAGTTGTTGGACTCCACTGCAATGACTCAAGAAATGCTGCCTTTTTGACATATCTTTTACCTGGACAAGCAAAAAAAAATTGTCTATTTCACTCTTGCCAGAAACCTCTTTGTTTCATACTGGTGTCCCAAAACCCCCAGGGAATCCAACAACTTTTCAAAGAGCAAAATGAGTCAGTGACCAATTTGTTCTGTTGGATGATGTAATGTGCAGGGTTAGAAATAAAAGGTAGTTTTAAAAAGCTTGCACTTCACTTCTCAGACAATAAAAGGCAACACTTGAAGGAAATACAGTACTCATGTTTAGCAACAGGCAACTGAAGAGAGACTGAATCTGTGAGAAACAATATGCCTTTACCTGTAAATCATTGAGTCCTCTTGAATCAGAGTCAGAAGCATCTCTGTAAGCTGAGCTCGTCAGTTCTACATCAGTTGAGGCTCGACTCCTCTTCTTTAAAGGTTTACAAGAATCTGAAATCTCGCTGGCACCTTAACACAACATGCTAAAATTAGTCTTACTGTATGCTCCTTCATTTTCTTTCTTCCTTAAAATCAGTAAAGGAAAATGAAAATGAGACAACCTGAAAATGGACTCTATTTGCTACTTTTTAAGTCTCAGCTTGCAGCTTTGATACTGGTTTAATCCTCTGCAAAGACCTAATTAACTTTTTAACTGTTAACCTAATTAACTGGAGATCACTTTAGGAAGTCCTGTGACAATCTTCTGAATACGATGACATAGCAGAGGAAGCTATTAAGTTGTGTGTAACAGAAGATAAGCCCTAATGAGATTATCTCTTCATCATTCATCTTTAAAATAGGGCTAAGTAAAAGCATCATCTCATAATCATACTAAATGCTTACAGCACATGAACAACATAACTACCCTTCCAACTAGCAATGCAAAGCCAAACAAACCAATCGACCAAACCAAGCCACATTCATCACTAGAAAGCTTCAAGACCTCTGCAGCTCACACAGGATGAAAAGCACTGCCAAAGGGTGATGAAGAGCCAGGAATTTTCAGTTTAAGAAAGTTTAAGCGTGTGACTCACCTTTCTGCAGGCCTGTCTTCACTGCTGCCAGTGGAACCATTTCAACCTGTTTGAATAGGAAAATCCACAGTTAAAAACAAAGGAATTTTTTCCCCTAGTATTAAAAAGAAAACATTAAAGTTTAAGCGATTAGCATCTCTGAACTCATGTGCAGTCTGCCATCCCCTCCTCAGTGCCAGCCTTCTTGTCCTGCTGGATTTAACCCTAGCTGCCTACGCTGAGTACCAGAAGACAAGGCAGCCACGTGTTCACTACCGAGGTCCTTTCCAGTCACTCCCTTTCTGCATGAAGACGACAGAAAACTTCAGCCGTGTCCAGCAGGCAGAAGCAGGGCTCAGCGTGGCAGCCAACCCTGATTGCTTTGTACAACCCCACACCTGTGTGAGCACAAGTTCACCTTCACAGGCATGACACTCAGGTTAGTGAGACACTTAAGGTATCTCCTTTTAAGGCACATCCTCCAAGCATGCACTCCAGGCTCCTGGGAACACAGACCTTCCCTGTATAGAGTGCTGCAAGGCCACGGGGATGGGGGCACGGACAAGGCACAGAGCATTGCAGAGCTCTATACAGCTGGAAACTCAATGCCAGTACACACCTAGCAGACAAGTTTACAGTCTTGCAAAAGTACTTCAGGCTCTCGATGCTCTATCAGTAGAATCTGCTCTGCCAATGTACATGTAACACGAGAATTTGGTGAGGGGATAATAATTAGAGAGGAAAGTCGTTGCCTTACGTCCTGGTTTTAAGGTTAAGGGTTACAAGTTACTTCTTTACAATGTGGTTACATATGCATGTAGAAACACATTTAGTAAATATTTAAGGATTATTCTATAATTTTTTTAAAAAATATTTTATTTTGTTGTACAATAGGTAAAAACATACAATAGAAGGATTTGTATAGGATACATTTCATAATACAAATATAAAATCTAAACAATCACTTTTATTTCTCCACTAGTCACTGTAACAGTAGCATTAACATTTTGTTTTTCCCATTAATTGTACTCGTTCCAGTTATAACTTTATACCAAGTTGTTGCAGACTAATTTGGGAATCAGTTGCAAGAAAACTTGACTTTGGGTAACAAATATTGTTGCATAATTGTAAGAAGTAATTTTTTTTTTAATATAACTTAATACATTCAAGGTTAGGCGCATTACAGTGCATCTGTGTTTAATTTTTAGTCACACACTTTTCCTGAGAAAAGCACTTTAATGTTCATAGTCTTAGTTAGCTAGGTAATAGAAACAAGCAAAGCTAACTGGGATCCATGAAATTCATATTGTTGGTTCTTAAACCTTTGTTAAATTAAGAAACACTTATCAACGTGAAATAACATCTGAAAACATGGAGGCTGCAACACCCCCAGACAAGAGGCTGAAAGGAGCATTGGGTGCCTCACACCCAACATCTCTGTTGCTTTCAGGTTTCTTTCTGCAGTTTTCCAGAGTTAGAACACTCTTCTGCTGAGCACAGATGTAAATGCTATGGCATCAAAAGAAAAACATGGAAAAAAAAGCAACTGGGTCTGGTCTGCCTTCAACCTCTGAGTGAATGAAGTGCAAAACAAAGTGTAAAGGGCAAAGAATAAATTAGAATAAAAAGAGCTAAAAACCCCAAATGTTCCCCTTCCCATATAAAATCTGTAGCCCAATCACCCCTTTTAAGAAATCCTCATTGGAGAAAACTATCCTATGAAACATTTCACATAAAATTCTCTGGTTTCAAGAGGAAAACGGAGAGTGAAAACCGACCACGTAAGGAAAAGAACCAACAACTTTGACAAACTTGTTAAAAAGTATTCAGCTTTTAAACATTAAATTACGTCCATTCACTGAACTTTCCTATTCGTTTTCACGCAGAATTTGTGTTTGTTTGTTTTAAAGCAACAACATTTGTCTGTCTCACATCCAGATTAAAGGAATGCCCTGTACATGTTAGATCTAGTTAAGGGGGGAAGAAAGTATATCCCAGAAGAACTGTTTTGCTGATGTCTGCCAACATAGAAGTCTGACTATTAAATCATTCCCAGAGTCCATTTTCAAAAGTGGTCAGATTAATCAGTCTAACTTCATCTGAAAAACAAAACCTCAATACAAACCAGCAGCTAAATCAAGAGCAAAAGGAAGGAACCTGGTGGTAATTCCATCAAAGAGAAATTACTGAAACAAAATCATTTTGCTCATAACAGAAATCTCAAAGAAAACATGGCAGGTTCGTTAGGAGTCTTGCATCATTGAGTTCCCATTTTCCATAGCCTGACTGATACTGTGAAGATGCCAGTAGCAGAGTCACAGCAATGGTATTGACAAGGGGATTTCATGAAGGATAGTCCAAAACGAAACCCGATGGGGAAAAAAATGGAGAAAAATAAAAAGGCACCAATATAAGCCACAACATTTATGAATACAATATATTTTAACTCTCTACATGGAGGAAGCCAACCTGCTCCTTTTTGATCTTCTTCTTTGGCACAACTTCGGTGGATTTCTCAGACTCTGAGCGGGTTCGAATCGATCTTCTCTGTTGCTTCTTTTCTACAGAACCTGAAGGAGGAAGAAAAGGTTTCTGTTACACCACTGTACTGCTTGTACTGCTGTGCTGCAGCAACACCTCCAGCACCAAATCAACAGCTGAATTAACGAAGCCAAGACCTTGTCCTCTTTTGAATGTTTTATTTTTAAAGTCAGTGCCAAGCTATTTGCCAACCGGTGCTGTGGCCTGCAGATAGCATCTTCTGATTCCATAGACAGAAAGAAGCATTGCAATAACAATAATTACAAAAATAACAAGCTGGCATCCAGCTCAAGCAAATGGATTTTCAGAACACACCTCTCAGTCTTTGCCCTGGTTAATTTTTAACCAAATAGTCCATATTTGGTATTTATGGCAGGCATCCACAATCAGCTTCTTCAACTAAAACAAGCCAGAAACCGAAGATGCAAAAATCAGGTTGCAAGTTTTCATTCCCACAGACAGCTGTGTGCCCTACAGGGCTGTGAGCCTTCACCCAGGACTCCACAGAACAGTAAAGCAAGAACCTCTCTACTGCATGTGCAATAGAAATGAAATCTAAATGCTCAACAGAAAGCACAGAAGCAGCGATCAGAACACATTATTGCGATGAATCAAAGCAAAAAACTGAGCTTTCTAGAACTATTACTACAGGAAAGCAACTCAGATTAAGGGCAGAGATTATGATATTTCAAAAGAAAGTATGAATTACTTTTTTTTAACAACTAAGATAAGTGAATTCAGAAGATCCCTCTATGCTACACTGTCTCCAAAAAGGTCATATTGTGAAACACCTACACAGCATCTGATACCACGTACAGTTTGGGTTTTGTTTTGACACTGGGAGCTGTTTCAACAGAGAGCTGAAGTTTGACATCTCACAGCTTTTATGAAGCATTATTCTCGGTTTTCAGTTTGGTTGTTTTACCTACAGAAGCAGCAGTGTAACTTCTGGCTGCAATGAGAGACATCCACTGATACACACACAACTATTCTGGATCTCAACACTGAAGCCAGAGGTCATCTTTTGTCACCTCTGCGTTCAGCTGAAATTCTTTGAAGCAACTAAAAGTCAGTTTGGGAAACTGTGACCAGAAAGTTGATTCAATCCATCATGCCTTTCCTCCCCGTGCTGCCTCACCATGAAAACAGAATTAAGATGCAAGTCCTGTATCAGAGAAGAAACTCTCAAGTTATTGCCTTCAGCCAATATTAAAGTCACTATCAATCAAAGTAACAGGCACTTTTTTCCTGTCCCTGATCTCCAAGGATGCAGCACATCACCTCCACAATGCTCCCATCCCATCTGCGTGTGTACTTTGATCTTTGAGAGTTTCAGGACAGGTTTCAGACCAGCACTTTACTTCACCCTGACAAGGTTGGGTCAATCCTGTTCCAGCTGTACGTGGAAACCAGAGGCATCATGAATTCTCACAGTTCTCTTATTAGCAGTTTGCAGGTCACAAAATTATTCTCCCAGCACTACAGAATTCTATATATCTATCTGCAGGTTGTTATTAAGGATTCCCAGAGTCATTCTGTCCAATATTTCACATAAAGGCATCCTGAAACTCCAGTGACCTTAAATTTGAAAGAAGGACTTTGCAGTTATGTTCCATGAGAGGGGATCAACAACTGTCTGGACTTTGGAAACAGCTCTGAAAGTGACCTATACTTCAGTGTGTACTGAAGGAAAACCCACTTTAACACTTAACACTGTAACAGGTGTTATCAGATGGAGTTTTTTACATCTCCAAAAAAACCTATGGAAGTGAAAAAAACAAGAGGCTCAGAATTCTCACCAACCCCTGCCTCTGAAGAGCCATTGTGAAGGTAAAGCTTTTAGTTCCAAGGAAAACAAAACAGAGATCACCTATCTCCAGAGATCTCCAGCTATAAGGCAACCAAACAACTGTTTCAAAAAGCTGAAGCAACCATAGCAACTAAAATTGGAAAAAAGAACCACTGCCAAGACCAGCAGAGGAAGCCCCTCTTGCACTGGGAAACCCCACTTGCACCACAACATCTGGTCTGCTCAGCCTGCACTGTGAAGCCTTACACAGCCCAGAACATAGCATCTATTAAATGAGCTTACCTAAAGGCTAAGGAAGTACAGAAACTGCAGTAAGTATGCAGAGGAAACTGTTCCCACCTATGCTGACCACTGAGGCGTTTGACCTGGAGTCTCATTTATGTCCAGAAAGGGAGAAAATACAAACAATTAAAGCAGAAGTGACACCAAGTAACTTCACAAGATTTTCCCAGCAGGTTTTGTGTTTGGGTTCCTTTTTGTGTGTTTTAACTGTAATGAGTCCATCACTATTTTTAGGGTGTTTTTCTGGTTTTGCTCATCCTGCTACGACAGCAGCTCAACGTGCTCTTCTGCAACCTAAAATTTACTTCTACACATCTAATGTAAAACCACTTGAGGCTGTACCAAGGCTATTACCACCAGCACACCAGCAAAGAAGCAATAGCTAATGGACTGTACAGAATAGATGAAAAACAGAAGACACTACAGGGACTGGAGGAACCTGAAAATCTCTTGGTTTAGGAAGATCTGAACTACATCTTTTCAGGAACTTGCATTTGCTCTCCAGAGGGATATTTGTCTCCTTTTGATGATGCTGAGAGAACACACTGCTGAATGAAATTCCTGCTGGTGGGGAGAAGATAAAACCGTTTGGACAAATTCCCATTAGCTATTCCTCAGAATCAAAACACACACAAAAAACACATTGGTTTTCTGTTCCAAATCTACGAAGCACTCAATCCGGTTTTCCTCTTGCTCTTCTCTATTACTGTGCTACAAATTAAGCTTCAACTAGCTTGTTCCAGGCTCTCCCTTTTCAGTCTCAAGTTCCATTATTTGCTCCAATGGTTTTCCTCAGAGTGCTTCAAAAATATCATCGTTTTATGATGGGGCCCCTAAAACACCTTCAGAACCAAGCATTGCATCATGCTGCTGATGGAGTGAGCTGAAGCAGTTAGGGGAAAAAAAAAACAACACTGTCCTCTACAAAGGTCATAATGAAATTCATCAACAAAATTTGGGAAAGCACCCATATTTCAAAAACCACTCCTTACTGAATTACGTCACCTCCAGATTGTCTTCTTTTGATCTCCACTGTCATATTTTACACGCAGTGCCAAAAGCCATTACAATGCTCTAACACATGCCTACTATGCTGTCCTGTCTTCTAAAACAACTTGCCATCTGCTCCCCACAAGGCATCTGGCCTTCTAATAATTGGACTTGGATACTGCAAGCTGCAAGTGCTGGAAGTTCAGAGGCTTAAGCAGCTCAAGTGCATCAGAAAGACATCCTGTGTTCCTCAAACATCTGGGCTCCTCGTGTATTACGTTTGGGAGAGCTATAACGTAAATGGAAAGACGTTCAAAATCGTTTTTATCTAACAAGAAAATGCCAGTTTTCACGTGTGAATTTAAATGCCAGACTGTTAAAATTCAAAGCCCCTGCACTTTGCCTACCTGCTGACCCAGAAGTTGTTTCAGGAGAGGATGCGTTCTGCACATTGCACGTTGCTTTTTCATTTCTCTGGCTGGATGAAGAATTAAGCTTCTCTTGTCCTTTGACGCTTATTTCTGCTTTGTTACCAACTCCCTTAGGAAAAAAAAACAAACCAACAACACGACACAAAAAGATTTTGTCAGCCTACTTCCGTGTATTATGGCTTCCAGGCACATTAATCTATCTGCAGTCAGAACAGAAACCCTTCAATGCAACACATATAAGTGATCTATACTACTGAACTGCTTCTTTGCAAAACTTTCCATCCCTCTCCATCTCCCCTTACATACAAGGAAAAAAAAAAAATCCAGCGACTTTTCTAAACATTACCTTCTCTATAATGCTTAGGATGAAATAAATACTCTCCAGGTAGAGAGGCAGAAGAAGGAGGCAGAGAAATAGTCCTAAACCTTTTCCTTACACTGACTGCGAGAAGCTGCTGTGCACCTGAAGGAAGCTAGGAGGCAGAACTCATTTTAGAAGTCTGTTATGCAAAACGTAATCATTAGTTTTTCAATACTTTATTAACACTTCTGTAATTTCATCTGTTTTCCCCAAATAACCTGATTTTTAAGGTTTTCAGAGAATTGCTCTGTTATTTCAACTAGAATTAAACAGCTTCAGTATTTTGAACATCTCATCAGCAAGTATGTGACCATCTGCAGGGAGCTTCTTGGCCAGCAGTCAATACAGTCACTGCCAGAGGCTTTGGGATGCACTGAAATTAAAAGTTGAATACAACAGAAGATTGTTGGAGCTTCCTGCCTTATGTTAGATTTAATCTCTCCAACCAAAGAAATGTGCACTGTGAAAGTATAGCGGGTGCTGGCTTAAGCTCCACAACAAGATAAACTTGGAATAACTTAGGAGAAAAGGAGTCACTACACAAAGTACATACCTTAGTGGAATAAACAAACTGATCGATGAGTTTGCCATCCCCTGCAGCATTTTGAAGAGCAAAAACCTGTTCAATTTTAACAACCGGAGACATGTTACATTTCTGAAGATCCAAGTTGTGCATGGTTATCGAGGCTGGTAAGGATTTTCTAGCTGCAGCTGTTTTCCATGCAATTTTCACAGGTGGTGGCTCCTCCTCTTCCGCACTCGACTGCCTCCGTTGGCTCTGCCTTCGCAGCTCTGCACTGGAAGGTGATCCTGTTATCACACTGCCATGCTCTGGCTGGGTGTTCAATGCTGGCTTTGGACGCCGGTTCTTCTTGGTCTCTGATTTAGAAGCAGCGGCCTTTTTGGCTTTTGACAAAACCTCCTCTGGCTCTTTGTCTATATAAATGAAGGTGTATTGTTCTATCCTTTCTTCCCGAGTCATTTTCAATGCTTTCTCAGCGTGGGCAATACCAATATCCCACTGAGCACGCTCTCTTTGCGGCCTTGGTTTGCGAATCTTAAGGAACAAAGACAAGCTGCTAATTACACTGAAGCATCCTGAGGGTCCTTACATCTCTAAGGCAACAGATATAAGTTTGCTTTCCATGTACAGGATACAGTTTGAAAGGTAGACAGCGAACCCCGTGCTCGGAATATGAGCAGACAGTGGTTGGATTGAATGACCATCAGCACTGAAAGCGTCTGCCCTGAACTATGAACTCAGGAAAGACAAGAGCAGACAGCATTCAAAGTCCACGATCCTGCTAGGAGATTAAACCTAATTTATCTACATTTTACATCCTCCATATTTTTCCATACAAATCCTTCTCCTTCCACAACAGTATTTTGATTAGCATAAATACTGACTTAAGTTCTGCGTCTACACAGAAAAGCAGCTAAAAGCAAGCACAGATTCTACCTTTATTTAATATTCTCACTAAGATGCAAAGTCATCTCCTTGCCCAGGATGACAGCTGTCACCAGGAACAAAGTTAAGCTATCAAGCTCCTCAGTGGAAAAGGAGGAGCATGGTAACATTTCAGTTATCTCCACGAGTAACACTTCTGCCAGCAAAATGCAGCCAAGCCTTCACACAATAAAGCACCGCTGTTTCAGAACTGCCCCCACGAGTTTCACTTTCACAGATACCCCTCTCCACAACCAGTGTTCATCATACCTTCTGTTTCTCAGAATGGTTGCTGGCTTGCTTAGCAGCCTCTGCCAATAACTGCTCGTATTGTTTGTGTCCTTTGTACTCCCGAACTCGCTTCTCGTGCACCCACGCCCGTTCTGGCTGGTTGCTAAAAAACTGAACATGGTATTCACGGGCACCTGAAATTGAAAAGTCCTAGTAAGCAGTTTTATGAATGCCTCTTTTGGTTTAGTTTACACTTTCCTCCTCCACACCACTCAATTGCTGCAGTTGGAAATACCAAGGTTAGTTTAGAAAGTTCAGAAATAAGACAGGCCCGGATTCAGAGTAGTTCAGGATGGGAAGATGAACGCACCCTGCCCACACTGGATGTTCTCAGACTTACCAGATGTCTTCTCATAAACACACTGACTTCAGGAAAGTGCTCACACCTAGTTTGCATAGGCTCATTTTGTGGAGGTAATTTTAAAAGCCCTACTTTTATCATTACAGTAATAGTCCTGTTTAGCACACGCACCAGCAGACTCCATCCCACAGAGGAAATTGAAAAGATGGGATTTTTTTTTTTAAGTGCAGAAACAACCAGAGACACCTGATGTGTTCTGGCAGTGACCTTCCTCCCTTACCTCTTGTATTGATTTTGGTATGCACATCAAGCTGTGGATCACATGAAACCATGCAAGGCCACCATGGGTATGTTCCCACTTTGGACCAAACCAGATCGCCAACCTGAAACTTGACATCATGGCTGACTTGTGTTGGAAGAGAAGGCAAGAACTGCTGCACCTAGAGAGAACAAGACAAGCTTAACAGCTCGGATTTACACACAACAGTCACTGATCAAACAAGACACACAACAGTGGGGAAAAAAACCACACCAATGATCCTAAAACCACAACAAAAATCAAAAATAAATGTCTCCTCCGTAAGTTGATTAAGAATGCTGCTTTTAGGAGAAAATAAGACAATAAATATGGCAAAAGAGAAACTCTGACACAAAAGTAAGAAGCATTTCAAGGAAATGGTGGCTCATTTATCTGACAAACTAAAGAACCCATGACATAATTGGTAGAAAAGCAGCGACAAAGCAGAAAGTGTTAATGACTATATGTACTAACCGGGGCTTCCTCCAACACTGCATCTTCTCTTGGCCTTTCAGACAGCATGCTAAGCCTCTCGTTTGGTCTCTAGGAAATGGGAAACAATGAAAAGGAAAAAAGGAAAACAAACACAAACAGCATAAGGGGAAAGTAAAACCAAAACAAGCACATTAATGAAAACAAACTGAAAAAAAAACATAGCAAGGAGAAAAGCAACCACAAGCCCAAAAAACAAGTGTGGTGATTCCTTATTCCAACTTCAAAGTAGCATTGCAATCCAAAAAATACCCTCCCAACCCCTGCAAAGAACAAGGTTCTGCTGTAACAAGCAATAGAGAAACGTTCAGATAGTAAACCCAATTCCACCTTAATTCATGTGCAGCCTCAGAGAAGCAGGGAAGGACTGCTGAAGGATGCCCACAGAAATGTGACAAGTCCCACTGCATGCTGGTTATTTGCAGAGACTGCATTACCAACACCATGTTAAAAACACACCACGAAAATCATCCAACTTATGTCTAATCCCATACACACCCAGAAGAGAGGAAAAAACACTGCTGAAGAAGCATACTCCACCAACAATACCAGGCATACAGATGGCTGAAGCTATTATCACACTTACATTTTGTTCCTCTGGTTCTAATTTTGGGATTTTGTGCGACTTGCGCTCTTCCGATCGGGAAGAGTCGTGCTTGCTACTTTTTTTCCTTTTCTCTTTCCTCCCTTCATGTTTTGCCTTAGCATACTCACTCGCTTGTACTTCATTTAAAAGGTCCCCACAAAGAGAGGACTCAAACAATTCCCTGCCGTTCTGGATAGTTTTGGTTATTTTTAGTTTGATTTCTGGTGAGCCAGTCTTCTTTGGAATCACCGTCTGTGAAACTGAAGGTGGGGCTGGGGGTGGCTGTGGAGGGGAAGGCTTTTCCAGAACTTCATGCGGCCTCGCGTTCGAGTTTTCCATGTGGTAATACTCCGGGGGACTAAAGTTTCTAGCTGTACCAAAACCATTGGCAGAACCATTGGGATATTGACTGTACGTCTGGAATTTGGCTTGAGGTTCGTACATATTGATGGTGGCCGGGTAGCCATTAGCAATGGGGGGCAGATCCTCCGCCGTGGGTGTTGGGTACTGAAAGCCTTGCTGTAGGGCAGCTTCGTACGGCGTCTGTCCACCATCTTCAGCAATGTCACTGCTGGCATCAAAGGCATCCTCCTGGCGGATGTTGGCTGAGTCAATGAGCTGAGGTGGTTGCTGAATTGTGTTTCCCATGATCCCTTGCATGAAAGAGAAAGAGAAATCCATTGTTCTGCTCCAGCATCCTTAGCTTTCCCTTTTTCTCATAGGGCCTGGAGTCAGGGGGAAAAGGAGTTCAGTCAGTGTAAAAAATAAATGATCACTGAGCAAATTAAAACGTTGAGAGAAAGCAAATGTAATGACCATCTCCATCCTCTCCATTCATGCATTTAAAGAAGGCTGGTATTACAGAATGTGAAAAAAAAATTAAACTATTCACTCACTGCTGCAGAGCGCCTTTTTATTCCACACATCCACTTCCTTTCCCCCCTCCCAGTACGTTTCAGGAATCAAGAGAAGCACCTACAAACGCTTAGAAGATTATGAGGCCAAAGTCAGTGCTAAAATTCAGACCATCCCTTCAGCATCCCTAGAGTGGCACCAGGAAGCATCGCTCTGATGTGCTTCCATCCACAAGTATCCCCCAAACAACAGAGAAACAACTTCCTCCCCCTCCATGCTGCCAGTGTGGGGCCACAAGCAGCCTGTCAGGCAGCTGGGGACCAGAGCCATGGATTCTCCCTATGCTGGGGCAGCTGGAAGAACCACTTCAGATGATGTGACAGCCTCAGGACGGCCCTCCCCACCCCTTCTCTCAACAGAAAGGCAGAGAAGAGCTTGCTTGGGGACGGTTGTTTTCCTAACATCAAACATGTGGGTTCTAACACTATAAAGGTTTGATTCTGAAAGCTCAGCTACTGGCTCAAAGTGCTTTAATAATCTCACAGTCACAGTACAGTGACTCAACCTACAGCTCAGAAATACAAATTTGCAAGGTCAGTTTAGCCCTTCCAAAGTAAATACAGCTCTGTGTTCTTTATCCTACCCCTGTGCAGGCACAAAGGAGGGTTACTGTGTCCTTCTGGTCAGGGTTTGAAATGACACTAACACAACCCACCTCTCATCATTACAATTTGCACATACTCCCCCACCCCCCACATTAAATTCTTACCTTCCCAATGCATCTCAATACCCTGAAGTTGCAACAGCAAAAGGACTTGATCAGAATTTTGTCACATGCTTTGTCAGCTTTGTCCTTGAATGATACATTTGTGTTCATCCTTGCTGCCCAGTGCCACCAACCACAGGCACACCTGCCCCCATAGTTAAATGATTTAGGGAAACAACCCAACAGCACAACGCTACACAGCAAAATTTGCTCACTGCAGCAACTTTTCAATCTCCTGGCAGTAAAACCATCTTTTCCCCCAGCTGCTCTCTGCATATCAGCCACAAAAGCCAAGCAGAAGTGCTGCTGCTGATGGGAGGGACACACATGGTGAGCAGCACTGCCTACCAAGGTCAGCCAGCCTCAAACCACCACCACCCATTCTAGGAAGAGGAAGTGGAACTGTTTGTACTATCTACAAATTAATTGCTCCTTTACATCTGCCAAACCGAAAAGCAAACAACAGATTTCTCCCACTAGGAAGAAATTTCACCCTAGGCTTTTTTTCGTGACTAAAAATCAGAATCAATTGCTTTCTTTTTAAATACCTCAAAAAACCCATCTTACAAACCATCATCAGGCACATCCACTGCTGGATGAACAGAGACAAAGCACAAATGGTTTAAGAAAGTTTAGAATCAATTCTCAAGTTTTGTTTTCATTTTAAAGAACAACCAATTCACTGTCTGCCATCCAAACACTCCAGAAGTACAATCACCCATGGAGTTTAGAACTAAGAACCAGAATATCAAACAGGACACCATTCAGAATGCTGTGCTACACTAAAAACACACCGTGGTTTATGTCAGCATAATTATGCTTTATGTTTTGCTGCTCCTCAGTCAGACTATGAATGGAAACTTGAGATGTTTTGGGTTCTGGTGGATGATACATAGTATAAAATAGGAGTAACACTCTGCATCTCTTCCTTGAGAAAGAATCCCACTGCCTTCAGAGGGCATTTTCCCTGGTGCAAGCGCTTTGTCCTTGCAATGTCTGATGCCAAGGAATGCTGCTCGTCCCAGCACACAGCACAGCTCCACCAAGCAGCAAACATGCCATGGAGTAAAGAGGGAAAAACAAAGAAGGACCTCCCTGCACCACTAATCCACACCTGGCCAACATTGTCAGAACCAGAAAACCTCACCAGCCTTCTTGTCCTTAAATCAGCATCACTGCCCTACCCCTCATCTATTAAAGACAACTGTTCCCATGACACTGGCAGCTCCTTTTCTTGTAAGACCTTCCACGCTTTAAATGCTGGGCTATAAACCAAACCATGCTGTGCAGCATTTCAGCCACGACCACACCAGAGCTGGGCAGTGATGCAATACCTGATCAACACAGCCAGCAGGAGCCCTTACCCACACACAGCCAAGGAATGCTGCTGCCAGGACAGCTTGCTTTGCTCAGAAGGGCTGACATAAGGTACAGTTTGCATCCAGAAGCAGAAGCTCCCTGCTAACATTTTGTTAAAGCCATCTCACCCAAGTGATGGGAATCAGACCCAGATGCAATGCTGACAGAATCCAAAACCTGCACGGCAGTGCCTGTCCTTATCTCCTGCACACAGAGCCCTGCAGGTCAAAGTCTGCCCATGGTGCAGGGAGGAGCTCCCTGTATCATCCTTCACAGGACATTTAGGGCTGGAACAGGCCCCAGAGCTGTCACCAGCCTCCATAGGCACAAACTGGAGGGGGTGTGTGCAGGGGAGGCTATCAGTGCACTTTATCTTGTTACATAAAAAAACTTGTGGCTTAGCAAACTTCAAAACACCACTTAAATTGGATTTAGGAGGAGTCAGTAAATATACACATATCAACTTCTTTTTCTTTAAGCACTGCTTTTCCGGAGCTCACCTGCATAAAAACAGACCGTGATTCCAGTCTATGTTTCTCAATAGGGACAACTTCTACACCTGCTTCGTTCTGTGCAGGCTGCAGAAGCAAAGCTGCTCCTCTCAAGCCTTAAAGCTCAAACAGTTCTTCTCCTCCTGCAGAGCTTACAACACCAAGAGCTTCCTCCTCCCCAGTCCCTTCTGTCACCACAACACACCCAGCTTTTCCCACCCTCTTCACATCTCTCTATCAGCCTGCTCAGTTCCGAGCTGCCTACTGACTGCCAGAGCAAACCTGCAGCCACTGATAACAACACAAGGAAACCTGAACGTGTCAGAATCAGAATTTAAACCTCAGAAAGGATTACTGAGCAGAAGTCACTCAAATGTTGCAATGTAAAGAACGTACCACTGTCCACAGAATAGCACCAACAGGCTGGGTATGGCTCTCCTGAGCACTTCCCAACACAAGAGAAGCCAATTTGCACTTCTGTGCATTAAGCTCCCAGCAAAGCATTTCAGGCAGTGTACATTTTTCTCAACTATTACATTATCAGATGCCCCACGAAAGCATTTAGCTTCTAAATACAACCTGCAATAGATATCGCTCTGATACAACGCAGGAACTGGGCCAAAAGATAAGGATACAACATAATTATTTCAAGCAATTCAAGCATGAAGTGGATACTTCTTAGTAGTATTGGAAAAGAATTTGGAAACAAAGATACCTTCAACGCTGCAACTTAATTTACTGTTGAGAGAGCAAGAGTTTGCTCCCCAGAACCACGCAGCCAGCACCCCCCACGTGTCCTTTCCCATCAAGAAGGAAAACAGGACCTGTCACTGATAAGGGAACTGCAGACTGTTCACCAATGCAGACTGCACACAGGCACTGCTGGTGTAAGTGCTTTCATGTTGCCTGCAGGAGAGTCAGAATGCAAAGAATCTGAGGAAAAAAGTACACAAAATAAAGGTTTCACTGCAAGGTGAAGCGAGTCAGCCCAGCACAGCTCCTGCAATACACTTCCTTACACCAACACCGTGTGTTTTGCTGCCCATCCACTGAGAGCTGCTCAGAAAGCTCTGCTGCACACATTCCAGCAGCAGCCCTGCAGTCACGGGCTGACACTGGGAGTCCCTCTGAGCTCAGTGTTCCACCAACAAGCACAGCAAGCTAAAGCTGTTTTTGTGATGAGCATTTTGCGTTTGCTCAGAAAACAAGGTACTACAAAGTCCTCAGATGCTGCCATCTCACGTGACCAAACCGATCTGAATGCTGCTCAACACATTTATTTATTACTCAAGGAAGTTTTTCATCCTTCTAAAAAGAGTTCTGCAGGTTTGTATGGAACACAGCAACTCGTGGACTTATCTACAAAACACACAGATGTGCATCTACCCACTGTGTTATTGCTCAATCAGAAAGAGCATGAAAACAAGTGAGAAAAGATACTGTCAGTATGCAGCACACAAAGGAAACTCCCAAGCACCAGAAAGTCCCACTGCTACCTATCAGCAACCAAAGCAGCCCCAAGGACCACCTCCAAAGGAAGGGGTTTCACCAACCACAGTGAGCCACAAGTTGGACACGGGGACGTTTCCCTGTGCCACCAAACCAAGGAGAGCAAACCAAGCACCTGCTAATGAGCCCTGCTTGGAGCAGAAGAGGCCTGCTGACCCAAGGCTGGCTGTCACCACAGCAATAAGTTGGGGCTGCACGTACTGATAAGAAAAACAGCATGGCATGCAAATACTTTCAACAGTTTCCATAAATCCTTTTTGAATTAAGGTTACCGCTCTCTGCTGACAAGCACCGTGTGGGTAACCCTGCCTACAACTGGTTCAGGAGTTGCTGAATATGAGGCATTAAAGACTGGGCACCACACAGAGATGTGGAGTGTCTGCTCTGAGAACAGAAGCTGTGCTGCTGGCTCACCAACAACCACAAGCAGCACTTTGAGTCAGTCCTACGTGACACTGCCTCGTCAGCCTGAGCTGGGCTTTCTGTCACAGCCTTGAAAGCAGAAGTTCCAGGCTGTCTGCACAACCAAGCCTGCAACAATCCAGCTCCTCTCTGCACAGATATAATCAGAGAGATTCTCAGATCTGCTCGTGTCCTACAGCCCCTTAATTACCTGAGTCACCAGACGCATTCACTCTCATTTTCTGCACTGTTCCATTCCAGTGCGTGCCTGCATCTGCGCTGTGCTGGCACTGCTCCTCTCAAAGCTCCACGCAGCAGCCACCCCAGCACATGCTCACTGCTATGTTTACAAACACAGCTGCTGGGCTGAAACAGACCAGGTCGTTGGGTTTGAGCGATGAAAGATGAATTCTGTCACATTTCCACACCTCCTTTCAAAATACTCTCCTGCAGTGTTCAAATGATACGAATTATAGGCAGAAGTAAAATGACTATTCACATTTCTGCATCCTGTGACCGTAGTTTGCTTCGTCCCACTTTGTTCTGAACACCCCAAAAACCACAGGCGTAAACTTTTACTTCCATCCATTAGGACAAGGCCCAGCTTTCAGCTGCATGCACATTCATTAGCAAAGAGAACTGCAGCCTGGGGATTCCTCCTGCCTTCAGTGGGCCTGTGCCAGCAGAGACTAGATGGTGAATCAGAGGCCTCTTGACAAACTTGCCTCAGTGTTTTAAAGCGTGTGGTAAGGCTGATCACTTCCCTGCGTACCTTTCTAAGGGCTCTAAGTGCCAGAAGAAACAGTCATCTCTGTCATATGGTTTTGATAAAGCAGCTCTTAACAAGCTTCCCATGAGGAAATGGAAAGAAGCAACTCAGAGGGCAGCAGTAAAAATCCTATGTAGTGAAACAAAAAAGCAGTAAGCTGAGTTTAGTGCAGTCATTTGGTTTTGGGAGCCTCGGGGTTGAAATGAGAACATGGAGGAAACTCTTTTGTTCTTTGAGGAGGCTCAAAAGCTGTTGTTCACATAAAACCAAAGTCAGACCCTTGTCAACTCCAAATATTGTAAGAACAGTGACGTGTCACACAACAAAGCCAACACAATAGCTGTAATGCATCTCATGTGTACCACTTCAAAGCTGCAGAACTGAGAAACACACAACAGTTGTACTGAACCAAAAGATGCACTCCTTGATCAGCACCCTGTTCCTGAGCTCACACAGCACACACCTGCTTGCTGGAGCGACCTCCTTTCAAGTAGCTCTTTAAAAACACCAACATATCAAACCACTACAACATTCTCCATGCATCCCTACCAGCCACAGGAAGACGGCAACGAGCACCAGGACAAACTACAACCTTTTCCTACAGCTGCGATCGCACGCTGCCTCTGGTTCAGCACACACAGAACGAAGTTATCGCTGAAAATATACCTAAGAG